CACCCCTCCAGCCTGGCGCCTCGCTGTCTGCCGCTCTCCGGCCAGGCGCCACGCTGTCTGCCGCTCCCCCAGCCTGGCGCCTCGCTGTCTGCCGCTCTCCGGCCGGGCGCCACGCTGTCTGCCGCTCCCCCAGCCTGGCGCCTCGCTGTCTGCCGCTCCCCCGGTCGGGCGCGCCAGACGGTGGCCCGGCCGCCGGGTCTGTATTGACTGGCGGCTTATCCGCGCCGGTGGCGGCCGGGCGGCCGGGAGGCCCACCAACGACCCAGACGGCGTGTCGCCGGCAGCGGCGGCCTGGTCAGCCGACCAGCGACCCTCTCTCCTGCCCCTCTGCTCTGTCGCTCCCGGCACTCGGCCCGTCGCTCGACTGCCGAAGCTGCAGACTCATTTTCACAGCTGATGAGGTGGCGGTTATCACTCGATCGAAGCTCTCCGATATTCAAAGGTGCGCCGGCGGGCCTATACAGGCATATTTCTATTTGAATGTATCAAGTTGAGTCTCTGGCAATACTACCTCATTTCCTTTCGCCTTAGCGGGCTCCAGCTCAGTAAATCAGTTTTTAAAGTTCGGCCGACTTCAGCGAAATGCCCGAGATCGCGAGTCTCCAATGCCGTCTGGTCAGCCGCTCCAGTGATATTTTGCTTGTTTAGTTGACTGGCTGAAGTATTGATCGCCGCGCGTTCTGAATTGAGCAGCCTCCGCACATGAGTGCACGGGCCGGTGGCGGCAGGTGGGGAGGAGAGAACGAGCTTGTCTCCGAGGGCGATGCCACGCTGAAAGCGCAGCCAATATCGATTCTCCGCTTGGCTCACAGTTCGAGAGGTTGAATAGGCATCTTTAGTTGGTCGTTTGAGAGCGGGACGCCGGTGATTTTGATCCGACGCCGCATTCAGCCGGGTCGCGCGGACAGCCGGCGCGGTTGGCATGCAGCAGCGCCCTCCCTCGTCCGCTGCTTTGTCATCAGGCGAACTTTGGCGCGCCAGGGTCCGCTTGACAGAAGACAGAGGACCCTCCACAAATTGAGCCACCGCGACCGCGGCAGAAGGGCCCAATGGTCTTTTTGACGGCACGATGGTCTGCACGTCACAGGCCTGTGGGGTAGACACTCCCGCCGACCGCGAACGCGGCAGTATGGCCCAATGGTCTTTGAGGCACGATGGTCTGCACGTCACAGCCTGTGGAGTAGACTCTCCCGCCTTGCACTGCCTGCGAGGTAGGCTCTCCCGGGATGCACCAGCCGCGGAATAGACTCCCCGCCGCGCTGCCGGGTGAGGAAGAAAGAACCAGAGGCTATGGGGCGTGGCCACATAATTGTCTCTGGGCTCACGAACTCCCCCTTTAAAATTTATTGTATTATTCCAATTACGTGTGCACGAATAAACGCTGACAATAAACAATGCAAGGTGCACATGTGAAACATACAGGAGTGTCACACATTTATAGGGGGTTTTTGAACTAAAATAGCCATCTTAAAGCCTTTTCGGAGCTGCTCATCATTCTGCCCTTTTTAAGACTTAAAATCCTGTAGTTTCTCAGCTACACGCCCGCGAAAATGGGAAAAGGTATATCGGGTAGAGTATTTCAAAGTCATCCTGCCATTCATGACGCTATAATAATATCATTCAAATTCTGCCGTTCCCTAAGCCGTGCGGTAATCCAGGCCAACAAAAATATATAATTGTCGAGGCGCTCATATCTTGCGTCCGAGAGGATGATCTCCAGATAAAACGGCCGTCAACTGGCTCTCAATCGGTGTTGTGCAAGGTGCGATGACATAATCAAACCATGACGCATTAAGGAAATTTTTAGTTAACAGATGATTGTGCTGTCTAGAGCAGTATTTTCAACTTCAAAAACATATTAATAGGTATAAGCGAGCTTGTTTCATCGTACCTTATGCCTGCTTCAATATCGTTGAAAGTGAAAAATCCCCTTCAAGAGATAGAAAACATGCGATGTTGTTTTACACCAGGCCAGAAAATCCGCGCAATGTGATGTGCTTCATTAGTTTTCCGGTGAATGTTTCGAGAGAAGGGCGCCCTCTCGCCCTCTCGCCCTCGCCCTGGAATGGTATTCGCCAAAATTGGGGATGCACAATGAGGGGTGCAGTCAGGGGTTTCGGAAGTGGGGCCTGGAGCCTAGTGTGAACGCATCAGGTGGCTTTTTCACTTTCTGTCAGAAGCCAGCTATGCCGAAAAAAATAGAAAAAACGCGGGCCAAAGGGTTGAGGGTGTCCCATGCCCCTAGGCTGCTTCTATGGCGGTACACAAAGGTTGGGTGAACAGAAGTGTTCCGACTGAGTAAGCGATCAAATGATTAGGTAATATAATCTGCTATCACCTTAAATTTTTGCAGAACGTGGGCCAACTCTACATTTTCTTCAACTCAGTCATTACATACCCGAAATCTAAGAAATGCCGATCTAGGAAAGAGGACGGTAACGAAGAGAAACGGAACCACCGGCCATTTTTTTAACACGCGCCTGGGTGGCCGGATGGATACCCTTCGCCCGGGTGGGCGTCAATTTGACCCCTTGTGATCTCAAAAACGAAGAAAGCAAAAAGCACGAAATTCACAGGATGTGTTGATCTGTACGCAAGTACGCAGAGCGAGACCAGTGTGCCTTATACGTATACAGGGGTGCAGTTCCCTATTCAGATGGGGGCCCTGGGAATAGTGCTGAAGCCCTACTCCAGCTTCGGCTTCAGCCCCCCCCCCCCCCATTTTTGGGCAAAAGATGGGTAAAATCCAGGAAGAACCCTATTTGTTGGCATATTTTGGGCGCAGTTTGGATCATTTTTACTATTCAGCCCTCCCTGCAGCTCATTTGGCAAAACTATGTCCAATCACAAGACAGCTATTACACTCATCGTGACGGGGATTTATGCCTGAGCGACCACTCCCAGCTTCTCTCCAATAGCGATCGCTGGTCATTCGTCGATATGCGTAAAACGTCTCAAACAGCTGGAGACATTGTCACACCGTACGGAAGGGCAATGAGCTCGACCATTATCCACTTGATTTAGCACATATGCAATGTAGTACCGAGCGTCTCAGTAGGCGAGTTCCGTATTCAGTGGACCGTCAAGACGTAACGAAGCTAAATCATATTAGTCATATCTTTCCCGGTCAGTTAGCCCATATAGTATACATAAATCGCGAGCTTGTTTTCATTTCTGTCCGAAACGGAGTTCATTTCATCCCGGGAATTCCTTGTTGAAGCACAGCTGATGGACGCGGTGCAGTGCGCTGATTTATCTGTTCGTTGTAATGGCCCACCAGAAATCGAGAGCGCCATGTGACGTAAGAGTGGCGCCAAACTTAAGCAGCGGCCAAGATTAGCTATCCATTCTGATACTTCCTGGGCTAGAATATCAAACCTGACGCTGGGTGGCCGAACATAAGGTCCAAGCCACGTAGTCTGGTAATGAGCATCGGTGAGAAACTGGAGTCGGGTATTTACGAGATCGTAGGGCAGAGCGTTTCAAAATATCATGAATAGACGAACCCACAATGTCTAGCGTTTTATAAATTGCTGTTGCGAAACTTTAAGGACGCAATTCGTGAGACTCGTTTGTAAATTAAAGAAACATGAGCATGTTTTCTTTCCAAATTTACACAGGAGTTAAATGGCAAACGTGCTGAAGGTGTTAAACAATATTGTCATCCGCGCTAAAAGTGATGAGTTCATGTCTATGCGCCTGAGATACCTCTTGGGGATGGGAACGGCTGCACTCTGGGGAACGGGCCAGCTCCAGACGGCTGCACCCCGTCCCCCCGGGGCAGGACGGACCTGCTCCGGGCAGCTGCTCGCCAGCGGACGGCCGGCTCTGGGGGTGGGGCCGGCCGCGGCCCCGGGGGAGCGGGTCAGGTGTCAGCGCGGCGGAAGCGGCGGCGACGCGGCAGGCGCGTCCTCGTGTCGCCGCGCCGCCGGCCAGGTGACGCGGCGATTTATTGCCCAGCGTCACGGCCCCGCGCGGCCGCCGCTGCCAACAGCAACAGCTGCGGTGGCGGCAGCGGCCACCGCCTCGGACTGCAACAGGGGTCAGGACCCACCGCGACACGTCGGGACCCGCTGCCGGCGGCACGCGGTCAGGGCGGAGACTCCCCGCCCCCCTCCCTGCGGCGCAGTCTGCCCGGCAGCCCATGGTCCAGGGCTCCGCAGCGCAGAACGCTACCGGTCGCCTGCTGTTCCCAGCCAGCCAGCCAGGATACTGGCCTCCATCTGCTCTCCCCTAATGGCACTTTGAATTGACAATAAACACGACCCCGCGCAAAATGCGCTCGCAGCAGGACAGCCAGAGCCTTTAACCCGCGTTCCCTACAAACTGCCGAGGCAATACATTCTGCCCACCGTCGCTATGACGTGTGAAAGTGACGCTTGAAAGCATATTTTGACCGATTTTTTTTTTCAACCGGGCTCATCACTGATTTTAATGTCCTGGTAAAACTCCAGTTTTCATATTCGTTGCTGGATCCTCCTGGCGCCCCACGCGACCTAACAGTGAAATCCTCCCGTCACAGCGCGAGTCTTGCCGAACCAACCTTAGACCTATGTTTTGTTGACAGATCTACCAAACATTTGATCTCCAACTATCACACACTTCACAAGACCGGCGTATTCATTGCGACTGAACGTTGACTGTGTGCCGCTCACATGGCTTTCACAGTGCACATCACGAGCACTGAACATGGGCCGGATGGTACTGTCGCTGTTTCCTCGGATGCGTAGTCAAGGCTTAGTCTTGGCCCCCTGCTGTCCCTGTTCAGTTATTTGATGAAACAGGTGAGCTCGGCGGCGAGCGCCCTCTCACAGGCTCCAGCTGTCCCACTGCAAAAAGAACGTCGAGATGCTCTGTTTGAGCCGTGCCCGTGCCCCCCCCCCCCCCCCCGGGCCGCATTGTTGTCTGTGTTTGCCATTTATCAAAGCCTCACTCCATCTACACAAGGAAGCTGTTGGGGCGTCCACCAGCTTACCGTGATCTCTGTCGTGTCTTTTCAGAGCGGCGCGAAGATCAACATTTCAGATGGCTCCTGCCCAGAACGTATCGTCACTGTCACTGGAGCGACGGACGCCATCTTCAAGGCGTTCACGCTGGTCTGCCAGAAGTTTGAGGAGGTGAGCGCACCTTCTACCTCGTCACGGAGGGTCGGGTCTGGCTGACGCCGAGCACGTAGCTTGCCTTGATACATGGGCCGTAGGCTGCCTTTTCCAGCAGTATGTTCAGGGGTGAGGTATCTGCCTCGGCGCTCCGAATTAATTACGATCAGGTCCAGGCCGCGGTACTCGCCGGCGGTTTCAGGCATTCAGCGACGCGCGCGGATCTGTTCACGCGCAGCTCGGACATTCCGAAGTCAGATGTGGTGCGCTGCAGTCCTGCGACACCAGCGTGTGGTTTCATATCTACATTGGCAAGATACCACGAACATCAGTCGCACGCACCTGCAACGGAGGGACGCCAAGAGTTGTATGCTACTCTCCGGCATCGCGAAACCTTGCGGGCGAGGATGCATATCAGCGTCAGAGGACTAAGCGTTTGAACTCGTATCCGCACCAGAGTCACGGCGGTGAAACTTTGTCGCCGGTGCTGAGAGGCAAGCGACTTGACATTGATGCAGCGCATCAGCACTCACTCAAAGCCAGGTCACCTTGGCTCGTCCGCGCTGGTGACGCACGTACTGGGCTCTTGGTCCTCTGTCAGTCAACCTGGCGCCCGCCTTCCGTGCCGCGTGGTGCCGATAGTTGCTCTGCCGTCGTGTTCTCGATTTTGACTTGGGTTAGTGGCCTGAACATGACATCATCGGTCCGGATCTGGTCGTCCACCGCCCACCGTGCTGAAGGACAAGGAGCGTGCGCCGGGGCTGCGCTGGTTTGGCGTCGCTGGGAGGAGGACTGCAGGCTTTGTCTGCGTCTGCCGGCCGCCATCGGGCTGACACTCCTGGCAAGTTGGCTGAAGACTGGGTCCGTAGCTGCTGTTCAGAGACCGCCTCCGCTGGCCGGACAGCGCGCTGCGGCCTGCGATCTGCGCTCGGGAGTGTGCCGATCTAGGGCGGATGGCCGCCGTGGCCCGGCGCCGAGTAATGCGCCGCCCTGGGCGCCCGTGTCGCGGGCCCCGTGATGGATGGGCCCGTTTAGCAGAGGCCACCGCGCCCAGGTCGGCCCGCCTTCCCCGCCCTCGGCCGCGCGGCCGGGCCCGCCGCCCGACCTGGCGCCGCAGCGTTCGACCAAACAGCAGCGGCAGCTTCGCGGCGTCACCGCCGTCAACGGAGGCAGCCTTTTCGTGCCGCCGCAGCTCTTTGCAGTCTCGCAGAGACAGCCACAATGTGAACGTCTCGCTCGAAATCGACGCTAAGCAATCCAATTTTCGGCGCACGCTTAGCCGGGGAGAGTGGGATCAGCTCGGCACCTTATGCTCTCTCCCGGCACCACGTGCTAGGTGCGGGGCACCTTTCGCTGCCGTTGGCGGATCAATGAGACATCGTGGCGGTGCTCGTGCTCAGATTTTTAATCCAGATCCTGACCACTAATGTTCGGGGCGAGGTTTGCATTTTGAGCGGTGGGGGAAGTAGTTTGTTATTTATGGTTCTAGCAAGCGCATGAGATAACCTTATTAAGTTTCAGTGGTCATTAATTTCTTGAGTGTGTGTTCGGAAATAGCGCGACTAATCGGAACGCCTGATTGATGACCTAACTTAATTTTTAGGCAGCCCATTATTGCCCTTTACCCAAATTAATTAGTGCCCGCGTGATCAGGGTTGTTACAAAGTTACCAAATTCGAACGGCTGCCATTGGCCGGCACCAGCTGGGTCCCCGAGGAGCTTTTAGAGTTTATAATTTGGCCGAATCTGCGGAGCACACGGTTCTGACGTCGGTGGGAGGCCTGCGGACGACATCGGCGTCCCCCTCCTCATGATGGTGACGTGCGGAGCTGTCGTCTCTGTTGTCTCCTAACCATTGTTATGGAAGAGCGCCGCAGAAAGAGAAGAGGTACCTTCATTTTGGGACGTTATCTTCATGGGCTTTCCAGTGTTTTTTCATACAAAAGTCACTCATAAATGATCATTTTTCAGCGAGGAAGAAATAGACCTTTATTCTCATCGCCCGTATGGAATCCCGCCGTCGTATCTGCACCTGGCGTTAGCGGCGCCAGCCTAGCCTGGCGCTCGCCGAGGCTCCAGTTCCGACTGCCGCGGAGACAGCCGGGGGTCGGCGGTCGTCATGCGTGCGGCCGCTGCGGGCCGTCGGCCGTGTCCGCCCCGCCGGCGGCCCCGCAGTCACGGCGGTGGCGCCGCCCTGCGGCCGCGCGCGGCGCCGTCTCCCAAGGGCGGAAGGCGGCCGGCCGAGCGGCGGCCGCCGGTCGATTGCTGAGCCGTAAATGGCCGGGGAATTATCGGCCCCGCCGCGGTGTGAAGCCGCCGCGGCGCTCCTGCCGCCCCCGGATGCGTCCAGCGCTGTCTGTGCCGCCCGCACACCTGGCGGCCCGTGCCGGCTCGCCGGCGTGTGTGGGGAAGGGGAGGAGGAGCCGGCAGCGGTGTAAATAATAGATGGCCGAGCTTTGAGCGGGCCGGCACGGCGTATCTCGGTGGCGAGCGTGCCGTTATCTGAAAGCGCCGCTTCTTTGTGCCACGCGCCGTCGAGCGTGACAACGATAGCGGTCCGCCGAGAAAGGCGGGATGAACGCCCCCTCCCTCCCACCCCCCACTCCTAGCGCTAACTCACTGACCACCTGTCTCAGAGGCTGTCTCGTGCGCGGCCGTTACACGGAAATGCTTCTCCGGGGGCGGGGCGTCTTGGCACTTTGCTGGCCAGCGTCGACCCGTATTGAACGTCAGGTGCTCAGCGGTGGACCGCTAATGGCACTAACCGCTGGCCCCACCGGCCAGCCGGCCGATTTTGTTGAAGCCACGCCGCTACCGTATGCATGGAGGGCCACGCCCTGCTCGTTGTCCGCTCGGTTCAGAGGTCACGACGAGCCCACCTGCTCGAGATACCGTCGTCTGCCGAGGAGCCCAACCACCAGCCGATCGGGTTATGTCCCGTTCTAAAGGGATTCCGCGGCTGCAGGGGTGAATAATTAACTTGTGACGGCGTGGACGTGCGTTCCATACTGTCCACCATCTGGGCCTCGGCTTCGCTGCTGCAAGCGACGGAACAGATCGGGATGACAGTGGTCTTGGCGCTCGCATGCTTGATGTGCGAGGCAGGCGTCCCGTTGCGCTCCCCTGCACTGCCGAGTTCTCCTGCGCTCTGCCGGGTCCCGTGCCCTGCCCCTGTTTTCCTGCTGCGCCGGCAGTCTTGCTGGGCCGCCCCAGGGCCCGCCGGCGGGGCTGGCGCGCGCGGCGCGTCGGGTGCGATATTCTGGCCGCGCCATTACGGCCCTGATTAATAGGCGTGCCTAGCGTCCGACAATCGGGGCGCGACGCGACAGAGACAGAGTCGACGCCACGTGCGGTCGCCGTGTGGACGGCACCTGTGTCGCCGCGTCACCGCCGGCCGCCGGCCATTTGGCACCGGCCCGGGTCGGGCCCGCGCCGCCGACGCGGCCCGGCAGCGCTGCGAGCGCCGGCCCCGGGGCCGACTGTGGCCTCCGGGGGCCGGCCGCAGTCCGCCAGGACCGTCTCACATTACGTGGCCGGCTCTGGGGATCGGTGCCCGGCGCGGTGTCCATCGGGGCGGGTCCGCGGGCGAGCCCGCCGGCGACCCCTCGGGGTGATCCAGCTCAGTGTCGCAGGGTGTGGCACTGTCCCACTTGCGCTGCAGCGTCGGGCTTCCCGGACGGGCGGCTAGGACGAGCGGTGTTACCGGGACCGCGTCTTGCTCCGGCTTCTGTTCTTAGGCGCGCTCGTAGTCGTTGGGATCGGCCCTGCCTTGTTTTGTCTGTACGGGGATATATAGGCAATGTCACTTGCAAATTAGCGGCAGGCACAATGTTGCGGTGGGTCCTGGGAACCACCATTGACTCGAACATTTCTGCACCCGCGAGGGACTCTATTTTTTAGTCCCTCCTTGTCCCTGGGACCAACTGGCAGATCTGTTCGGCTCAAAATACATTCGAAAGCCCCGTGGACCACGGATCGAGAAGATGTATTTTTTGGTTACCTGAAAATCGCTGATGACTCCCGAGACGAGAACACTCGGATATCCTTTTTCAAATAAGACCAGCCGCAATTTCTCATTACAAATCACTATTTAGTGCTTCATGGTTAACTACACTCAGGTACAACACTTGGACGTGCTCCTCCAGGGAACCATATTGGGGGCACCGGCTTAAGGTCACTGGAGCTCTATGCAAAGAAGGACCAAACATTCCCCTGGTTCACTATGTGTTACACACGTGTTACACATGCTTTGGCGCTAAATATGTAGGTGGATGTCAAATTTAAGCGTCACTGTCGATTTCGGCAGACGTGGCCTTGCTGACTTCAGAGACCGGGCCATGCTTGAGACCAAAAACAGCATGGCATGCACAACGGGCAAATAGGTACTAAGTTGCAAGCATTTTGGAATAAAAAGTTGTCATGGAATATAAACGTATTTATTCCCCTATGATGATGACCTGTGATGAGATATCCTGCGGCCCCTTATCGCCTAATCCAACAAAAACACGTTGCATTGCCAGGTTCGACTTACGTTGCGGTCCTGCAGCTGGGGCAGCTACGTTTTCAAGTGATTATTTATCCAGACTTGTAATTTAAACAATTTATTTAGATACGTTTGCCTCTCATTCGCTGATGAGGGAGATAACACGAAAAATGCACGATGGTAATATTGCGATCCAAATAATACCTATCACGCATGTCGATATAGATTTATACTTTTTCCTTCGCCGTTACCCGAGAACAGGGTAGCCAGGAGTGCTCCTCCCTCCATCCCAGAATATAGGTATAGATGTACGAATTATATATAGGTATACAACAAATCATGCTACCAAATATTGCAGTTTGATTAATGATGGCACTGTAAGATTGAGTCAGGAATGAAGAGTCAGATGTGCGAGTTAATCAACGGCTGGTGTTCTTTCTGTTTGATACATGCTTGAGCGAAACCCCTTCGATGGAGCATCGTTAAATGCTGGTTACTTTCGATTTCCTCTATTTTCTGTGAAAGCTGGTGTGGCCGTTGTGATAACTGTAGTGACAGAACACACGAAACCGATTGCATATCATGCCATACCAGTGCAGCGAATAGTTTTAAAAATCAGATGCCCTCGACATTGTTTGTGGTGTCATTGTGTCATCAAGCAAAGTTGTGCTCTGCTAGTAAAATAATGTATTTTATGCAATTTCGATGTAATTGATAAACCTCTCCCAAATCGTGAGGCAAAGACACATTGGTTCAGGACAGGTAAGGTGAGACTAAATTTGCTGGCAATGCTGATGTTTTCGTGAACGATGAGTATAAGCATCATTATGGGAGATGACCATCTGGTACATGACCTTTCTAGGTTCAATGTCATTTTCATTTTTGGCTAGGACTCCATGCTCTTATCCCAGTTGATTCACTGGTGCTTTAAGCTATCTTCCAACATAAAATATTTGTTAAGACAGCTTTCTTATCTAATTGAAGCGTGCATAACGCATCAAAACAGCGGTCTGAACACGCGCTCGGGATGGGGCGGTGTCAATTTGCCCCCCCCCCCCCCGAACATTTTTTCCGAATGGTTTCCAAACGGCGCGGTGTATCCTTGCCAAATTTTGCATGGTTGTAGAAAGTTGAATAGCGGATCGTTTGGTATAAAATATTTAGATGTATATTTTGAAACTGCGGTGCACTAGGGTAAACTGCGGTACACACTCTTTTTTAGACATTTTCTTTGTGTCCCATTAAGACAGGCATTTGTCTGTGCTTGCATTTTTTAAATGCCAGTGTTTGAGATTTCTGTGGAATAGCTCCCGGACGTTTCAGCACCAGGACATTAGAAACAGGCACTACAATATTTTTACAATGTCAACCGCGTCGCAACACCCTGGTTCTTATGTTCTCCAAACAGAAATTTAGATAAGACCAAATTGAAGGCAAGTAATCTTGTGTGCATCAAATAAAAGAACCAGACCAAACATCCTCTTCCAGCTATCAACAGGGGCCTCCAGTGTTGATTTGGGTGCTTTTTGGTGTTTTTGGAATGGGTCTACTGCAAATTTTGAATTCCTGACATGATCTGCCCCAAAGCTACACGGGCTGACGGCAAGGCGTCGTTAAAAATTTGCGGGTTGAGCCCACAGACGTTTTCCAGCTGGCATTCTCCAGCAGTCGGTCGGTCCCCGGAAAAACGCGGCGGAACTCTGACATCCAACACGGCTTGCTTCGCTCGCAGTAACCTTCCATCGCCCACGCTGTGAACCGATGATGCTTTTACGAAACCGAGAGCCTCCGAAAACGGTGAACGGATGTACATACATTTGCTGCTGTGGAATGGCTTTGCGAAATGCGGTCAGGGCTGTCAACGGTGCTCGCTCTGTTGATTCAGCCAGCACCAGAGCCAACTGCGCCATTCAGGGAAGTTTGGACGCCTTCTGGTGAGCGCGAATGCCTCCAGCATCCTTTTTAAGCCTCTCTCAAGTGTCCTGAACTGGGAAGGGTCGGCTCAGATCCTCTGCACCGAACCGGGATCAATTGGACACTTCGGGCAGCAGCACCAGCGCTGAGAACCCGAGCAAAAAAAAGCTTCAAAGGCCGAGTATTGTTCTGCTGGAGTTGGAGAGGTGTCGACTCGGGTCCTAAGCTTTGTCGAGGGAGTCTGACCCACAGGCGCTGACTTCAGACGTCGCTGGCGGCTGCGGAGAGTTGTCTCGGCCACTCGCCGCTAGCTGTGGCACCCTGGGGACCCCTCAGCGCGTATTTGATCTGAGGAGTGGCTCCGTAGTTGCTCTGAGCCGCGCTCCCCTCGTCTCCACGACGTCAGTGATTTTAATGCGCTTAATGGTGTGCGATATCCGAGGTGACTAACGGCTGGGCGGACTGCAGTCGTTTGAGCACTTGCAAATTTTCGTAACTGTCCTACCATGATCTCAAGTAGCACTTCGTAAGACTGTAGATCACTATAAAATAATTGACATCCACGACAGCTGCTCACATCGGTGTCACGGACTCAGACACCGGCTGTTAGAAGGGAACTAGTGCCCTGCGCAATGTTTCTTAATTAAACCGGGATTTCACTGGTTGGCAGGCGCTGCCCATTGCCCTGTGCTTACGCAAACGTCACCTCAGATTTTGTCCTTGGTACTGACAGCCACGGAGAGCCGGCTAGCCCCACACCTGTCACGTGCCCCTCCCTCACGGCATCTGCCAGCACAGAGCGCTCGTGACCCCGTGCCTCGTGACTGGCTGGGGTCGGCGGTGGGTGCAGAGTGGCTGCCAGGCGGCGGGCGCGGACCGGCACCTCGCGCTCGACTGGCACCGCCTGGAACGGGCGCGTCTCCGTCTGACGCGCTCGCGACGTGAGGCGGCCGCTCCGGTCGATGCCGGGACAGGCGCACACAAAGAAGGGGTGCGGGCAGAGGGCAGGCGCGACGGGCCCTGCTGCCCCGCTGGGAGCTCGATTTTGCTGGTACAACTGCAGTCGGCGAGCACGATTTTCGTGGTAGAGTTCCGTCCGGGAGCGAGATTTCCCCGTTTGAACAGCATGCGACAACCCGGTTTCCCCCGTACGCCTCCACCTGGGGACAGAGCTCCCGTTGAGCCGCGGTCGGCCCATGCGGCCCTGCCCATCCCGTCACGCCGCCGCGTCACCCGGCCTCCACCCTACTCGACCGTCGAGCCGTCCGCGCAGACAGCCCCGTCCATTATGGGTTGGGTGGCGTTTGATGGTGTGACGCCCCGCCGCCGGCGCTGATGCTCGGCCCTGACGAACCCTACCGAGACCGGGGCCCGCCGCCGCGTGTTCAATATTTCCGACGGCACCTGGTGGTTGCTCGCGGTGCGGAACGCGGTGCCACGGCCCCAGCGTCCGGCCCGCGCCGAGCCCGATTGGCCCAATTCCGTATTTCCAGCGGCCGGTCAAGTAGATTAAAAGTTATCTGGAAAGTCACAGGCGCCGCTGATTGATTGGGTAAAGTTAAAATTTCCTTCATTATTGGGATAAAACTTGGTGGCCGTTACTCCAGGCCCGACATTGTCATCGGAGGTAGTCGGCTGGGGAGCGATTACTTCATCACGGAACGATCGTTTTTATAGGTTTACGTCACATTAGTGCCGCTCCGGCACCACCAGCTCCATATTGCCGGCTCCTTACGCGGTCCCCGGTGTCTAGGGTCCAGCATTAGCTGGCGCAGGCCGGCTGGCAGCGCGGGGACTGCCGGGGACGCGGGGGGCGCGTGCGTGGCGTCGATGGGCGCGGCCATCTTGGCCGCCGGCGGCCCGCCGCGGCGGGGGCTCTGGCCGCGCCGGCTGTTTGGGCCGGGGAATCCTGACGCGGCCGCCCGAAGGCGTGTCACGCCGGGGGATTCCAGCGGTGCGCGAGCTGGCTCAGCACCGACCCGGGGCGTGACAGCGTGTTTAATTCAGCCCGGCGGCGGGCCGAGGTCGCGCCGAAGTTCCGCCGCCGCCGACCGCGCCGCTCGACCTACGCCGTAACCTATGAATTCGATATAGACGCGGCCACGCCGAATGTGTTGCTCGGAGACGCAGCTGAATATTTGATTTGCGGCCGAAGTTGAGGCGTGGTTTACGAGTCGGCCGTGCCCTGCGTGGGCCGTTAGAGGCGGACGTGTGTCCCACGGCCGGCCACAAATGTCTGTGCTGAGACGCGCCCCGCCGAGCCTATAACGCGATATTACGCCGCCTAACTCATCGGCCTGAGTCGGCGCGCGGCGGGCGGAGCGCACGGTCGCCTGGGAGACAGCGCTGCTGTCGTCTCCTGCCAGCCAGACGGTCTCTGGAGGAGCGCCGCGTCGGAGAGAGAGCGGCTGGCATCGCTGCTGAATAAAACAGCATCGCGTGCTGCAACATTAACAACGTAGTGAAATAATCGCGGATAAATCGAAGTGGAAGGGCAGAATTGTCAGGGAACTGCAAAGCTATCAGGAAGCCTCAAAACCGCAGCATCGTCGCTTGGCGGCGCCTTCTGGGTCAGATGATTGATGAGTCCACCCCGCCAATGGAAGAGTACGCTGGTTACCTAGTGATAGTGACGACGAGCGATTACATGGACTGCATCTCGCCTGTGAAGTGAGGTACGAGTGGAAATCTCTGCGCCACTCACGTCCTGCTCTGCCGATCTGGTACTCGTCGCGATGACGTCTGATCCCAATGCGGCCCAGAGCTGCGATACGGGATCCTAAAGCCGCCTGGGCGTCGCGCGCTGTCCACGGGTCGCGACGTTCCACGTGGCTGAGTTCAGAGCCGCTCAGAGCGCCGTGGCGCGGAGACCAGGCTACGCCAGTCCTCAGAGTGGGCCGGCGTCTCCCTCTGACGCGCGACGCCCGGCCGCGCCCGCCTCGTGGGTCGATCGCCCCGGCGGCCGCCAGTCCGACCAAGCGGTCTCTGAGCCCGCAGGGCAGAGGACAGAGGTGACGACAGTCTGGTCTGTGCCTCTGCAGGTCCGCAGAGCGAGGCGGTCTGACGCACACGGCGGTGTCCAGCGCACAGAATGGTGGTCAGACAAGCGTCTTTGATTCTGCAGGGGCGGGGGGTTCGGTGTTCTGGTCCGCGCTTCCACGTCTGCACAATGGAACAATGCGCAGAACTTCTCTGAGCTTGCGGCGCTGCGTTGTGGTGCTTTGGGACTGTTTAATGACGGGGCCTGTGGGCGAATGACGTTCTGTTATGTACTAATGGAGTTGAACATCATTAGACCCACATGCTAATGGCGGGACTGGCCCTCGTGCCCGTGCCCAGGCGTCGCACTGCCGGATGGGGTTCCGACCGGCGTCTCCGTCCATTGCAGGCGGGCGGGCTGCAGGGCGGCGGCGGCGGCGGCGTGCCCCGGCCGCCCATCACGCTGCGCCTCATCGTGCCGGCCTCCCAGTGCGGCTCCCTCATCGGCAAGGCCGGCGCCAAGATCAAGGAGATCCGGGAGGTGACCGGCGCCAGCATTCAGGCGAGTGTCGTGCCCACGCAAACCGCCAAACCGTGCGGTAGTGTCGTGCCAATGCACACCGCCAAACCGTGCGGTAGTGTCGTGCCAATGCACACCGCCAAACCGTGCAAAAGTGCCGTGCCCACGTACACCGCCAAACCGTGCAGTAGTGTTGAGCCCACGCACACCGCCAAACCGTGCAGTAGTGTTGAGCCCACGCACACCGTCAAGCCGTGCAGTAGTCTCGTGCCCACGCACACTGCCAAGCCGTGCAGTAGCGTTGTGTCCACACACACCGCTAAACCGTGCAGTACCGTTGTGCCCACGCACACCGCCAAACCGTGCAGTAGTGTTGTGCCCACGCACACCGCCAAAACGTGCAGTAGTGCTACGCCCACGCACACCGCCAAACCGTACAGCAGTGTTGTGTCCACGCACGCCGCCAAACCGTGCAGTACCGTTGTGCCCACGCACACCGCCAAACTGTGCAGTAGTGTTGTGCCCACGCACACCGCCAAACCGCGCAGTTGGAAGAGTTACCGTGATCAGTCGCGTTGAAGTCTCGATGCGCCTAGCTGTGTGGGTGAAAGCTAGTTTGCTGCTGGTGGTTGTCTATATTTACATTATTTGCTGACCCCATGTAAGAATAACAACCTTTCCTGTTTTAAGTACTGACGCAAAAGTTGCACCATTGTCGGCGCAGCTCGATCCGCTTACTTGGGAAACTCCCGGTCTCAGTGATCACTCGGCTGCCCACGAAGCCTGACCAGTGCCTAATCCGGTTTTCATGTCAATTTGCTGACACAGTGGAGGATGTGCTTGGTTTTTGTTTTGTTGAATTTTTTCTGAATTTTTTGTTTCGTGTCTGTAGCGTAATCTTCGGAGGTGCCTACCACCACCCCGCCCCGTTCACAAAGCGAGGGCAGATATTAGAAACACAGAAACAGTACAACAGTTATTGGGGCACTGTAGATCCGTCGACCTAGGGCGTGGACTCTCTGAACTGCTCGAGTTAACGCCCGCCCGGAGTGAAGGAGTGAAGTTCCATATTCATTTGGGGGTGCAGCCCTCCAACGTTGAAAAAGTGGGTCAAATTCACAGGAAACCCGTTTTGGGCGTTTCGGGCGAGGCTAAGTTTTGCCACTAGCTCTGTCCAAACCGCCCCAAACATATTTTACGAAACTACGTTCTCGCTTAAAATATGCGAATGCGTTCACTGTTCTTTGTCGCGCACAGATCAAAGGCGTTAAATACAAGTTCGCCGCCGAGATCTGAATAGTAAAGGGTTCGCAGATGAGCATGTAGGCGGAGCGCCGTCTTCACGGGACGCAATCCGTTAGTGGAGGCGCTTATCGCGCCTTTACCGTCCCTCGTGTCGCCATGGAACGGCCCTGTAAACCCGGCTAGCCAGCGAGATGGCATTTGGCCCGCGTGTTCGCGGTCCAGACGCGACTAACCAGCATTCGCCGGAACACATCAGATCCGGCCGACCCACAGTGCCCGGGGCAGGTCAGATCCTGCAGACCAAGAGTCTGATGCGTCTGACCCGTGGCTGAGGAGTCTGACTCGTATAGAGTCCCCACTCCGTTCGGCCCGAGCCACATCCGTATTCCTTCCGAGCTGTGAGCGTTGCCGGCTCCGTCTCACCGGCGCCGCGTCCGCAGGTGGCCAGTGAAATGCTGCCTAACTCCACGGAGCGAGCTGTCACCATATCTGGTACCAGCGACGCCATCACGCAGTGTATCTACCACATCTGCTGCGTGATGTTGGAGGTGAGAGCACGCCGCCGCCGCGGCTGGCGCTTCCATTCGCCGCGCGCACTCTCATTAAACTGGCCCGCCGGCCTTTGTACCGTAATTGCCCCGTTATTGGCATGTTATTGTCATCCGACCGACTCTCCACACGGAAGTTACATGATTATAGCCGGCTTTATGGGGCCATCTCGGCCACCACGCGGCCTCTATTGCTCGCTTCGCCTCCGGTGACGGCGGCTCTGCGACCGGCACGCCCCTGTTGCAGTCGCCGCCCAAGGGCGCCACCATTCCATACCGGCCCAAGGCGCAGGTGGGCAGCGCCGCCAGCCCGGTGCTGTTCGCCGGCGGCCAGAACTTCGCGCTGCAGGGCGGCTTCGGTCTGGCTTCGGGGCCGGACGTGAGTAGCGGCCCGCTGCCGTTCATGCCGGCGCCGTCGGCGCCCGGCCACTCGTCGCCGCCAGTCATCGCTCCGCACACGCCTCTGTCGGCGCATATGTCCCCCCACTTCCTGGACGCCAAGGCCGGGCACATCCTGATGCCGAGCCTGCCGCCAGCCTTCCCGGACGTAAGTGGCCGCAGTGCCGTCTGCCTGTGACGTAGTGACCGGCCTGCCGCCCGCACGGCCTCGTCCCCACCCGACCCGTCGCCCTGCGTGACATCTGCCCCGCCCACCCCGTCGCTCCACGTGACCTCGTCCTAACCCGGTCCGAGCTCCGGCGTGACCCTGTCCCGTCCGGCGCACCTGTCGTGACCTTTGTGGCTGGATCCGCCGCTCGCCGTGAGCACTCTCCTGCTTCCCTGTGTGCTCTGTCATCCACCGGTCTTTCCGGCCCGTTCGCCGCCCTGTCCGAGCTTGCTGGACCCTGACCTAGTTCGATCTCTCCCTGACCTCGTTCAACCCTCTCCCCGACCGTCAGCCGTCGTGTGCGGAGCGATGCGGCCTTCTGTCCTCGAGCCCCGGCTCGCCCCGCTCCGCCCCGTCGGGAAACGACCCGACCACAGCCCCGTATCGTATACCTGGCCTGCACGACCGCTGTTTTACCTGCGGGACGAATGCCGTGTTTCCGCCCTCGTGGTGTCTCCAGTGTCCAATCACTGACCGCTGCATGGCTGGTCCGAAGCTGTTGCAAACGGAAGCGACCATGGCATTTCAGCCGGCTCCCCGCCGCGACCTGCGTCGTACCTTCGCCTGTGTTCCCCGCATGGCCGAGATGAGAGGGCGTCCGCGCATTTGACTTGGCTCATCATTATGAAGTGCTGATGCACCGTCATTGGCTCCCCGACTTTTGCCGCTCGGGGTCTTTAACGTTAAGCAACAGAGACCAGAGCACACACGTCTAAGTCATTGTGAGATGATGTTACATGACAATGCGCGTGCATTACGCTTAGATCTCTTGTGACGCTCTCCAACGAACGTCTCTCGTCATTTCTCGCATTATTGGCGTGTAAATAGCGCTTCACTGATTGTTAAACGCACTGCTAGCTACCCAACATGTGTTTAAATCAGCTGACGTATGGATTCACATGGAGCGGCTGGCCGTTACAGCAGTGCATGCCTCCAAACCGCACCGGCTGACACCGTGACCCGAGCCGGATGCAGTTCGACCCGATCTGACCGATTGCTCCCCGCCATTTTCCAGCCGAATAAGTCTAACCCACTGGCCAGCCTACTCGGAGGCCTCGGGGGAGCCCACAACACGCTTCAAGCCAACACTTCAGGTCAGTTTACTTAGCGTACACGTTTGAGAGTTCAAGGCACTGGGTCGCTGCTGGCAGCTGCTCAGTGCCTTGACTTCATTCAGTTGTAAGCTATCTATTGGTAATGTGAAGTGATGTGGTGCAGTAGGCATGGACACGGCCGCCATTGGAGCGGTGGGATCTGGAGCCCAGTAACCTTAAGGCAGATGGGACTATCTCTGTGATTTGTGCAAAATATCGCCAAAACGGAAGTGGACCCAAACAGCTTTAACGTGTAGTTGTGCCCATGTCAATAAGCAATGCCTACGTTTTAAGATGCGCTCCTCATATACAAGTACTTCGTCCAGCAGACTTGTGACACACCGTCACGCAATGTAACGAGTGAGAGCACGGTCTTGGTGCGCCTTCTTCGTTAAAATATAATATTTGTTGAGCTGTATACATAATCAGGAGTAACGCAAGCGCATATGTCTGTGCTACGACCTATTGAAGACAACAATGTTAACCGGGGTAAACCGTAAACAGCGCGTTGCTGGGGCCGGTTATCCCCCCACCCCGCCCCCACCCTTGGGTTTTCTGGCCGTTTCTGGCCTCCGAATGAATAGCGGCAGCGGCTTAAAACTTCCCATGCCATTACAGAATTACCACGGCCGTCCAGTGACGAAATATAGCTCACCAGGCCATGCTTGGTCATGTCAAAATGACGTTGTCAGCATTGGCATTTTCGTGTTGCTAGTGTTGCCTGATATACGGTGTTCTCTGGAGAGCAGGATTTGAAACACAATGTATGAGGTCAGCAGAGGTCAAATCGGCGGGTAAATCTGATGCCTTGATTTTATAACACGTCATCCTGCGGTACCATTTGTCTTGTGCTGTCTATCTCGCAGACACAAAAAGACAGTCACCATAAGTCCGTGGACCCAGGCGGATTTTTAAAAAAATTAAATAAGTATCGATAAAATGAATAAATAATTAGATAAAACTGAATTTTAGAAAAAATAGCAAAACGGGCAGTTTTACAATTGAGGCTAACTGGTGGCCGGGTTCTCAGAATCACAAAAGCTGGCAGCTCTTTTAACTAGCCACCGTACAAATCCACACCTGGGCTTTTACATGATCCATGCAGAGAAGGCTTTGAGCTCCCATTGCTGGGCGCCATGAGTTCTGATGCTGAACACAGCCTACATTTAATATACCTCGGGCACTGGGTAAGCGGCGATACCAAGACGTGATCAGGATATATATTAAGAATGTCCAACATTTCAAGGCAGTGTTGCCGGTCAACAGCGACAATGACAGCTGCTTTGAAACGTTGAGCACTCTCAAAATATATTCTAATAAATGCTTGATATCGCTGCTTGACCAGTGCCTCTGTCGGCATTGAAGTTCAATAATTATCAGCAGATCATACATCATTTTCATTAGATTGATTTATATACATCTGTTTGTACTTTATTTTGTAGACGTAGATTGTTGTCCGCTTTTGCAGTAGATCAGAAAAAACCGATAATGGTATATCGACATTCCAATCAATTTGCAAATGCGAGTAACAAGTGCTCACGAATGAGTATTTGTATGTAGTCTTGATCTAACATGCCACGCGATCAGTGTTCAATGAGTCACAATATCCAAAACTATCGATAACAATTCGAGACACGGAAATTGGTCTTTTGGTTCCGGAGGTAGAGAGGGAACGAAAATTGTCCCGCTGTAACTCACGAGTGGCTAAATGCTTCACCCTTTGCCAGAATATGCCGCAAGTATCCAGTTCATCACGGCACAGTTCCCGAATTCGTAGAATTCCGATTCGCCATGTGGTTGTCAGACATGACGCTCTACAGCCAGCTGGCGTCGAGCCTTGGATTCCGCGACCAGCCTACTTAGGTTATTTAATTATGGTCCACATCACAAGAACTGGATGTTTATAACGCTTCCGTGTGTAGCCTTTGTCACCAGTTATATTTTGAGCTGCTACTGGCGCTGCTCGCGCTAGGCGCATATGACGGTTGGCTGCCTTAGTGGCGCATTTCGGACCCATTCTCGAAATCGCTTCGGGTTGAGCAGAGAAGAACAGTCACTCTCCATGCGCGTCGGGTTTTGCTAAATATTGAAGGCTCAGACCGGCAGCGAGTGTGCCTGGCACGAATTCGCATGCCTCTTGGGAACGTGCCAGCGCTTGGCACACTCGATTCCAGCTGTGATTTATGGAAACGCGACCCGCGTCACAGCATAGTTTGTGATGACGTCATCCACTCACCATGTGTGTCCAACGAAAATTCTTTGTGAGATTTCGCAAAGCGCCTCCACGGTCGTAGGACTTTTGTGTCATCACGTCTTGACCCAAATATCAGACATACGCGAAGGAGGATCTCCGTGCTCACAACAATCTGAATCGATGGAGAATGCTCATAGAAATTCGGCCGCGCGCCATTCATTTTATTTCTAGCATTTCTTTTCTGCAATCAGATCGGCTCTATTTTGGTGTGTGGCAGTCATCCACAGCTCAGGCCACAGCTCACAATCGGTCGTCGGTCAGACGAGGTCAAGTCATGGACCGTTGCCGCTCATCTATCGGACGACCTCAGGTCATTGATGACAGTAGCACGCCTGGCAGACGACCTCAGACCACAAACCACAGCCAGCCATCTGTCGACCGATCCACTGGTCGCCGATCAGTGGGAGACACGCGGCCGGCTGTCTGTCTGAGCTTTGAAGGTCACAGCTCACAGCCGACCCACTATCCCTCTTGGCCGGCCCTGGCCCGAGCCGCCTGAGGCGGGCGGGGACGCCGCGCCTGGACGGGTCAGCACGGCCGCCGTGGCGGTCCGCCCGAGCCGCGGCGTGCTGAATATTTCAGCTGGGCGGCGCCGGGCGGCGGCCCGGACTCACCTGTGTCCGGCGGCCGGGTGTAAATCCACGATAACCCAATCAACGGCACTGGCCCGGGCGCGCCGTCACTCACTGGCGCCCGGCCGACAAAGCCGCGACTGCATAATGGAGGAGGCCGACGGCCGGCCGGCCGCGCCGCCGGTCGGGGAAGCCGGCGCGCCGCCGTAGGCGGGTCGGAGACGACCTCAGGTCGTTGGTCAAACCTTCTCGTCTGGTAGATGATCTGCCAGACCAGACGTCAGGCCATTGGTCCCAGTTGTCAGACCTCGGTCCACAGATCGTAGCCAGCCTGCTGGCAAGGTGGCTGCAGGCAGCAGATCACGGTCGCCAGTCTGGCGGATGACCGCAGACTAGATACATCAAAAGGATTCCCATCGACAAACATGAGATTCTCAGGGCCTCCCACTAGACAGACATCAGTGGGGGCTGGTTCGAACAACCAATTTTGGACATGAGTGGTTCACTTGTCGCGGGATCGCATAGGGGGTGGCGTTTCCTTTGTTACTCTCGCTTGTCGTCCCTAGGATCCGTTGTCTACCTTTCACATCATTCACGGATATCCTCTCCCTTATTTGACTCGTCGACTTTGCCCTTGTCTGCTCTGGCGCTTCAGCTTGCCAGTGGCGTCTTTGTCATCCCTCCTGCCGGGCCATGAAACCTCTGGCACGATACTGACACCCCTGGTTGAGCACTCACACCTCTGGGCGGCCGCTGATGCCTCTGTTTGGTCAATGGCACCTCCGTTCGGCTGTTGACAGCCATGGCTGACCGCTGACACCACTGGTCGGCCACTGACACATCTGGTGTCGGTCGCTGACACCCCTGACCAGCCACTGACATCACTGAATGACCACTTACACCACTGGGCGGACACTGTCATCTTCAATTTTCGGTCACTGACACTCCATGGCCGACCACTTACACCCCTGGCCGGTCACTGATGCCCTGGCCAACCGGTGACATCCTGGTCGGCCACTGACACCCTTGATCGGACACTGACCACTCTGGTCGGCCACTGACATCCATGGCCGACCGCTGACACCCCTGATCGGCCACTGACACCTCTAACCGACCGTTGACTCCCCCGGCCGACCGTTAACACCTCTGTCCGGGCTCTGACTCCTCGGCCCGTCAGGCTCCCCACGCCGCCGCTCCCCTGGGCCCGCCCGCCACCATTGTCGCGCTGTCGGCGCCTTTTCCGGCGGTCACGTCCAAGCTCGGGGAACAATTCCCACGCCTTCCGCAAGCAGTCGGGACGTCGCGCTGGCGACGGACAGCCTCGCGGCGTGCGGCGAATGCCCGAGCGGACTGCGGGGCTCCGGGGAGGCAGCGCGTCTCGACTGCCGCGGTCGGCGGCGCAGGGATCGGTCCACGCGCCACGGCCGCGCCGCTCGCAGCCGCCGCTATTGTACGGACTCAGGGTTGTCTTTGGCACGTAGCGCACCTGGAATAAGCACACATTGTCTGCATTGGATTTCATTTGCCAAGCAGCGTTGTGCTCACGTGAATTATGAAACTGAAGTTATGCCCTAAGACGTCTGACGTTTATTATGCTCCATGCTTATAAGCTTTTTTATTTTTGAGTGCATCTTGATTAGTGCCCAACTTGACTGCTCATAGCCCATTAGGCTCGATGCGAAAATATGAATTCCGAAAGACAGCTGTTCCAAGACGCATGGACACGTGGAAGCATGGCGTCATGCCCCTCGCCTAACCTTCGAGCCTAGAGGCTTTCACTAGATATCGAGCGATTTTGCTGGAGTTTGGGTCGAGTTCGCAGGAATTTGGATACCATTTAACATTTGCCCCCCCCCCCCCCCCCCACTCGTAGGGAAAATCCTGACTACGTGTCTGGATGTGGGCGATTGTAGCGAGGTAGTGAGCTCACCCCAGCTCTGACCCGCCCCGCAGGTACCAGTTCTGACCTAACCTGACCTGGATGACGGCATCGGATCTCGTCGCGATCCCATGCTATCCTCCGCGTGTTGGCTCGATGGTCGCCCGGCCGTGGCTGCCCGCGCGCCGGCCAACCTGGCCTGACTCGGCGGCTGGCCCGTTGCAGCGATGACGGCTCTGGCCGCCCTGGCAGGGTCCCAGCTACGCGCGCCGCCCACCGCCGGACCCTGCACGCAGTCGCACGAGATCACGGTGCCCAACGAGCTGATCGGCTGCATCATCGGCAAGGGCGGCACCAAGATCGCCGAGATCAGGTACACTCACTTCCCCCTCCCCTTCGCCGTCGGCACCGGGCCCGCTCTCTCGCGCCGGCCCAGCCAGCAGCTTAACTCAATAGGGCGCTGAGGAGCGGCGAAGCATTGACCCGTTCTCGAATACTGATCAGCCGGCGACGGGTCGCCAGCCGCTCGCTCAAACGGTAGACGCGCTCTAAACGGAACGTCAACACGCGCTAACCCGCGTGCGCTGTCTTGGCGGGCTGCTCGCTTGGGAACTGAGCTAACTCTTGAAGAATGGTTTGTTGTTGGTGCATTTGACGTACGAAAGTGGCTGTTGACGTGGTGTGAGGCTTGATTTCGCTACTTCTCTCGTGCGCCTATCTGCACTGTTTTCCGGTGGTGATGTCGCTTCATTTATAACGCTTTGGTAACGCTTTCTAATTTTGACCTGTGGCCCGCTCTGCTTCTGTCGCCGGCCATCAGGAGACCCCATGCCACTTTTACTAACTCACTGCGGTATCCCGTTTACTGCTGGCTTTGCGTGCAGCTCACCTGAAGGAGTGTGAATGAGCACCCACTAACCGCCTAACACCGCCACGCTGTCTGCCGCGTCCCCAGGCAGATTACCGGCGCCATGATCACTATTTCAAAGTTCGATGATACCACGGAGGACTCCACCCACCAGGACCGCGTCATCACTATCAAGGGCACTGGCGACCAAGTGGCTCTCGCCCAGTACCTGATCAACACCAGGTGAGCCGCGCCGCGCGCGCCATCTAGCCGCACTCGACGTCACCGGCGTGTCTCGGCCGCTCCACAGGCAGATCAGCGGCGCCACTATTCGCATCAGCAACTGCGAGGAGAAGGACCGGGAGTGCGGCAACACGGACCGCACCATCAGCATCACCGGCGCGCCGGACAACGTGGCGCTGGCCGTATACCTCATCAACCTGAGGTCGGACCCTGCCCCGCTCGCCCTGCATGCGTCACCACCGCCGCGTTTGCCCGCCGCCGATCCCCGCCGATTACCGGCGGCGCCGGTCTGCGGACGAGAGCGTTCCAATTTCCTGCCGGCCTCTCGACGCCCGGCCGGCGGCTGGTGATTTACTGACGGCGTGGTGCGACGCTATCACGCACGCGGCGTCGCGCGAGCCGATTTATGTGTGGCGAGGCCCGGTATGACAACAGCCTCATCTTCTGCCCGCTTTCCATCCACCTCACCAGCTGCAGCTCGGCCATCCGCCCGCCGCCGCCAGAGCGCGCCGCAGCTGACGCAGACTGACCTGACCTGGTTTTGCACGAGAGAATCGGGTCGGTTCTGAACCAGGCGAATCAACAGGCGAATCGGGAGTTGGCTGAAAGTTCTCTAGAAAAAAATTGAAACTGAAAGCCACCTGACAAAATGTTGAAAGTAGCAAAACCGATTTGGATGCACCAACCGTCACAAATTTCCACCTTCATTGATTGATGGCCTTTTCATCGCAAGTGTGCATTCTGCTCGATATATGTTGAACTTCCTTCTTGGCTATGTTTGAGACTTATTTGAATCAATCTCAGGCCAGCAACATATACTGAAATGCGCTGTCTTTGGCTTCATGTTGCGCCCTTTAATTTTGTGATGTATTTTACTGGTCATCCTTTTTCAAAAGATATGTTACGATAGTGCTTGCTATCTGTTTAATAAGTTCCACTGTGCTTTACGTCTGATTTTCAATGCGCCGTTGGACGCGGAACCTCGGCTGGTCTCACATTTGGATTGCATGGTTTCGTATGACTGCGTGGGGCTCTATAAGAGGCAGCAAGCACGTGAAGTACCTCACTCATCGTTCCCCACCTGCACTGTGGGCACCACCAGGAAGGTTTCCCTCTTCTGTATCGCAGTCAATTAGCATGCAGCATGCTTTGTCCACCAGCTCTGTTATTATGGTCCTAGAAAGCAAACTGCTGTCATCAATTGTCTGTTTTTTACTCTTTGGCAACATGCTTGCATACACATTGGGTGTTGTGCTTGTTGTTGGCATGCACGCTGCAGATAGAAAGTTTTCCCGGCCTGACCCGCTTAAACTCGCCACAGTCCACCGCCGTGTGGTCAAATATTAGAGAATGAACGGTTCTGAGGTCCAGCATGTTGCCAGCGCTAGCAGTGAGTCACTCTCAACTCGGGGCGCACTCTGTCAAGCGTCATATAGCTGTCGGTCTTTGGTCAAGCTCCAGAGCTGGCGGGACGCTTATCGCTTGTTTCTGTCGTTTGAGAGAGCTGCCCCAGTAGGCGTCCTCGCGTAAAGCTTCGGAGAACTACGGCTGCCAATCCGAGCGTGATCTGTACTCCCCGCCCAATCCACTTCCGAAACGCAATGAGGAATTTAAGTCTTTATGAGTCGACTGTTACCAGTGGTAGGCCTCATGCTACTAAGACGCCACGTCGTCCCGATTGCAGGGTACTTTTCCATATGTCGCAGCGTTTTTGTTGTCGAGGAAACTCGTATACCTGCTAGGTCGTAAAAAAATTAAGAACCGCAGATCACGGTACTTTGCTTTTGCGCAATTTTCTGTCAGCGAACTCGGATGCTGTGGCTACGTGCTCGCGGCCATCCGTGGCCGGCCGTCCCCCACCACAGGTGGCAGAGTTGGGGTGACGGTGAGCCGCCCGTGCCGTTGCGGAGTTGGAGCTGGCGTGCCACAAGGCCTGCCTCATGGCGACGCGACCGCTGCAGCTGTGCTGACTCACGACCCCTCTCTCGACAGAATATCGCTGGAGACGGCCAGCATGGGTGTCGCCGGCATGGGATTTCAGTACATCTCTCCCAACCACATCATCAAAGTACCAATCCATTGATATACGGCGGCGCCGCCGGGCCCTTGCTATGCAGTCATCCTGTGAGAGTCGCCGACACCGAGGCAGCCGCCACCGATCCGCCGGGGAGCAGTCTGAACAGCGACACGCCGACACGAATCTCTGAAACGTAGTGACACAGACTCGGGTGCACCGGCACGGACTCTCGGACACGCTGACACGGACTCCCTGGTGCACTGACGCGGACACCGACATGCCGACATGGCTCTTCGACACACTGATACGGACATCAACACGTCGGCACGGCTCTTTGACACACTGACACAGCTCTTCGACACACTAACACGGACATCGACATACTGACACTTTCATCGACACGTCGGCACGGCTTTTCGATACACCGACACGGCTCCTCGACACACTGACACGGCTCTTCGACATGCTGACACAGGCTCTCTGATGTACGGACTCGAAACTTTTTGACACGCGAGCACCAACCCTCTGGTACACGGACAAGTATCCTGACACGCTGACACGAAGTTTCTGACTCAAAATTTCCGACACACTGACCTGATCCCGATACACCGACGCGCCGTGGCGATCCCCGAGACGCCGACAGCAAGCGGCCAACCCTGCTCCTTACCTCGAAGATGCCCGCACCGCCGCCGTGCCACGACAAGCGCGTCGACCCCTGACGACCCGGGCTCTCCCGACACCGACGACGACATGACACGGACGCAGACGCCGACAGTCGGACCACGCGGGCTGGGACGCAGACTCAGTCCGCTCTGACCGCTCAGGTCGGGACGCAGATGCAATTAGCCGTTAGCCTGACTGCTGAGGCTGGGACTCAGATGCAATCAGCCGGACTGCTCAGACTGGTCTCAGCCGGACTGCTCAGACTGGGACGCAGATGCAATGGGTCGGACGAGCGCGGCCCGGGACGTGCGCACCGTGGTCAGGTCGCTCGCTCTGTGATGGGCTGTCGGGTCTCCATGGCCTGGCCTGCTATCGCACGCCGCTGGGCGCGGGCCACCTGGGCGGCTTGGCTCGGTAAGAATGTGTCATATTTTTGTAATCAGGCTTGGTGTCTTGTGTTGGCTATCGTGTTGCGTCTGTTTTCTCACAATATAAACTACCGCTACGCCAAATGGTGCTGTACATACGTAAAACGGGGAGTATTTTACACGTTCAACGGATAGGTGTGAATATCTTTTATAGCGCTCTGTACTTCTGCTGTTGTTCCTGCTCTGCTAGCATCGCCACTTGATGGCCTTATATCCTGTGTCTATCAGGCCTACCTACCCTGGCCTACGCCTCCCCTGCCCATATCCGACTTGCGACCAAACCCTGCGTCTATCGGCAGCGCGTGACCCCGAAACCAGCCCGACCCGCCCCCTGTCGTTGACCCGACCGCCGGCGACGGGGGTCTTCCCACCCCCAGCCGGCAGCCCCGTCTGCGGACGCGCGACCGTGGCTGTCGGGAGCCGTCTGCCTCTGACGTCACACCTGTCCCTGCCCGCTGCCGCCGCTGCCGGCGTCGAGCGGTGGAGGCCGGCTTTGCGAACTGGACCGGCTCCTCTCCCGGTCCCACGGACCGGCAGCGCCGCCTGCCGGTCGCCGCGCGGCAGGCCGGCGGGCCGCGTGGCTGGCAGGGACTGCCAGCGTCGGCGCGTCACCCGTCCCGAGCCGCTGTCACCGGTCCAAGGGTCGGGCGTGACCTCATGGTGTCCACTCCGCTCGGGGCCAGCGCTCGGCCGCGGCGACGTCTTGGGCCGCGTTGTCTTTGGCAGCGGCGCGGACGGGGCGTCCCTGATGCGTGTCGCTGTTTGTCCTGCCCTGTCCAGAGCGGCCCTTTCCATGCCAGGACCACTGGGCAGTCATGGTTCAACGTAACGTGACTGCGGCCGGAGGACTGCCCACTGACGGACCGGATGGGCCAGGTCTCATCCCCGTCTCTCTTTGTCTCTCGGGGTGGATACAGTTGGCCGGCCTTTTCGCGCGGTGGGGCCAGTGACCCGTGACCTGACATACAGCTCCCCACCGGAGGTTGCTCCCGCGCTCACCCGTAGAGAGCGGACGTGACTCTGGGCGCTGTCTGAGCAGCCGGAGATGTCGCCGCCCGCCCCTTGCCCGGCGGTGTCGTATCATCGACACACGTGACACCGCGTGGGGTGGCCGCATCAGCTGCTCGGTCGGGCGGTCGGTGGCCTCAGGATAGGCGCCGGCGCCCACGACCGCCCTCCTCGTCACCGCTGGGTCCCACCGCCCCATATCTCGCGTGTTTGTAGCGCACGGATGCGTGCGGCTCCTCGGCGTGGCCCGCCCCGACGACCTAGCTTAACCTAGTCTTTCTCGAACAAACAAGGTGGTTCTGTCTTCCTGAGTGCTGCTCAATGAGTCCTTTCAATCAGTGCGGCGGAGAAGCGATCTCACCTCCCTGGTGCCTGCGCGGACGAGCGACGGACGACGTGCTGTTCAGAAAAGGTACGCCGTCAGCGCGGCGCGGCCATTTGGGGCGAGCGGAACCCGAAAGGTTGTCCGCGTAAATTGACTTAAGGAATGCAGCAATAGGATTTGAGGTCAGTGAAGGTCTCATGGAAACGGAGATCGATGTAAATGTATGCACAGAAAGACGGTGGGTTGAGGGTCGACTTTGGCCTCTAGTAGTCGTATTCGATGTGTGCAATCTCTGTGCAATAGCAGTATTTATCGATTACATATACACTTGCTAGGTAGGTGATGGCTAGCGTTAGGAGTTTCGTGCTCAGATTGTCGCTCAATCTCCGCCTCGCTCACCAGACCGGAGCCCCGGCCTCCGACCCTCCCCGCCGGCCCGGGCACGCTCCACGTGTCGCCGGCGGCGCACCCTGCCCTCCCCTGACCTCTCGACGGGCGGCGGCCTGTGCGCGGCGTCCGAGAGCCAGTCCTCACCGATGCCTTCACCCAGACCCGCTTACCCGCCAGCCCCGTCCGACGTAAGGTCATGCTACCAGAGCAGGGGGAGGGACGGCGAGTGGCGGCCGCGCGTGTACATAGCCGGCGCTGCGCTGCGCCGGTCGGTGTCGGCCGGCCTTGTTTGCTGTTACTGCGGGCTATTTGTTCGAGGGTGTGCATGAATAGGAGCGGTGGAGTGTCGCGCTATGGCTACACCCAATTCTAATATCATGCTCTCTATCAATATTTTATATCAGCGGACAATCACATCAGGCAATATATCTGGCCAAGCGTGATTTAAACAACCCTCACATATCTTCGCTTTCATATCACTTGTTGGCGATGGTACAAAAGGCATGATATTCGCGTGCTACCACAGCCGCTGTTCTCACCGCCACCTGTGATTCGTTGGTGGAAGCTGTAGTTATCAGCGAGCCACCGGGCCGGTGCATGGGGTTACGCGGATGTACCGGTTGAGATATATTGTTGTCTTCGGTGTATGTGCCAACGTTGTTCGATATGGTGAGTGCACCAGTGCTTTGTTTAGTATAATCTTACGTAGGATAAGGTGCGCATGGAGGAGCAAATTCAAAATTCGGAGTGAGCGTGTAGTTTTTATGGAGTTTTCCATCGTCCTATATTTGTATATAGAGATATTTGTGTAGCTATACATCTTTACGATACGCATATTGTGTTGAGGTTTGTGTTTTTGTTCGTAGTGTGCGCGTGTGATTTGCACGGCGCAAAATCGGCGTTTTCGTTACATTTAGGGCGTTGTTTGTCTGCCGGGCGTTGTCGAACTGATGAAAGTCGCCATCTTTGTCAGAATCTTGTCAGCTTGACCGCGACTCTCACACCAATCCAATACTCGATTGTTTGTTGTTGGCGCTATTGTCTAGACCTCTTTTATCCCGTGAATAGATATTGTTGTCATATTCATTGAGGCAATAAGTGCATTTTGTATCAGATGCAAAACATAACAGATCTGGTGGTAAATATACGCATCGTAACGGTGACGACGTTTTTTTGACAATCAAGGCGCACCGAACCACACAAACTACAGTACTGATTATTTCAGAGATCATCAAGCCAACTGTCTTCAAATTTCCCGTCTGTGTTCAACCTTAATAATACCTTCAGAGTTCCAGTCTTACGAGATAGAAAATCAGTGCCGTTGGCCGTGTCGGACATGTGAGATGCACTCTCTTCTAGATCGCGCAGTAATACAGCATCGTCGCAGCTTTCAGCTTACATACAACATTTTTTAGTAGCTGTCTCAATGCAACTGTTTAACGTAAAGTCCCGCTTTATTCAACTTCAACATATTCAGATCGATATCCACTTCCCAATATTATCACAACAGCAGCTTGCAAAAACAGTAGATAACTAGTTTGACACTAATGCATGCACGTTTAGCAGAGGCCGAACGAACACCGTCTTGACATTTTACACCTCAACCTTCTCGCCACATCTGGGCGAAATTTGCTTCTGCCTGGTCACTACTGGCCTTTATTACCCGACGTCCTGCAAACAATGAAACAGTTATTATTCATCGGTTGGTAGGAGGAACAGCTTCCGACAATCCAGGTTCACAGCACTTCGCAGCAATACAGCATTCGCTAGCATTGTCAGCTGCCACTCACCGGACACCGGACGAAAGGCAATCGAGACAGTTGCATTTGTCCTAAAAGCTTCTACGAAGTGTCATAATATAATAATAACAGTAATGGTTGTATGACCAACGCCCATCCGGTCGGGCCAATTTGCGTCGTGCGTGAACGCTGAACGCACGCCAGACACAGGCATCTTAGGCAGGGTGGCCTCGCTCGGCGCGCCGCCGTCGGGTCACTGACCTACTGCAGGAAGTAACGCTGCGGATCGAAACGGCTCTGATCCACGACGGGACCGAACTGTGGGGAATTGGCGGGTCGGTTGGTCACCACGCCCGGCTGGAGGGCTGCGAAGCTCTGCTGCAGCGGCGAAGCTGCTGCAGTCTGCCCGCCGCCACCAGCGTCCAGCACCGGCACGTCCGCCCAGAACCGGTTGTACGCCTGCAGCACCGTCGCACTGCACGGACGGGCAGGTCAGGTCAGGTCAGGGGACACACAATACGCAGAACTGGCTGTACGCCTGCAACGCCGTCGCACTGCACGGACGGGCAGGTCAGGTCAGGTCAGGGGACACACAATACGCAGAACCGGCTGTACGCCTGCAACACCGTCGTACTGCACGGACGGGCAGGTCAGGTCAGGTCAGGGGACACACAATACGCAGAACCGGCTGTACGCCTGCAACACCGTCGTACTGCACGGACGGGCAGGTCAGGTCAGGTCAGGGGACACACAACACACAGAACCGGCTGTACGCCTGCAGGACCGTCGCACTGCACGGACGGGCAGGTCAGGTCAGGTCAGGGGACACACAATCGCAGAACCGGCTGTACGCCTGCAGGACCGTCGCACTGCACGGACGGGCAGGTCAGGTCAGGTCAGGGGACACACAATACGCAGAACCGGCTGTACGCCTGCAACGCCGTCGCACTGCACGCACGGGCAGATCAGGTCAGGTCAGGGGACACACAACACACAGAACCGGCTGTGCGCCTGCAGCACCGTCGCACTGCACGGACGGGCAGGTCAGGTCAGGTCAGGGGACACACAACACACAGAACCGGCTGTGCGCCTGCAACACCGTCGCACTGCATGGACTGGGTAGATCAGGGACACGCAACACCTAGAACCGTTTGCACTGTCGCGGGGTCGATGCACTGACGTGATAGGCCAACTCGAATAACTTCATAGAACATAGGTGACAGAAAAGCTGTTAAACAGCGACGTTTGCGTTTGGTATAAAATCCACTTGTGGCTCGAAGCAGGCAATGCGAATGCTTGTTACAATCACGGGAACACATGACCGAAATTCTAAACCGATTTGCTATGTTGCGCATAATTAATGTCAACTGGTAAGCAATTCCGACATGTCTGAGGCTATAGACGCAGTGAATGGCTCCATGCAATGCCTTGATTACTTTAGTTTCAGTTAATCGAGGCCCATGATAACCAATGCTTCATGATACTTTGAATATTAACACGCATCAGGGTGCGGGCAATTTGATCCCGAAGGTTTTCCGGAATAATATACGAGCCACACGGCGAAGCCCGTCAAATTGCGCATAGCTGTAGGGAATTAAACAGCAGATCTTTTGGTGGAAAGTATTTGATTTACCTTATAAGGTTACTGACTTATGGCAGGTCAAATGCAGGCCGTAGAAGTCAGCGAGGGTCATTTCTAAGGAATCGTTCAATCTGATTCGACAACGGAGTGTTAGAAGAGGCCATACATCTCTGAAATAGCTTCTCACGCAATAGCAAATTGAATGTAGAATTAAACCAGATGCCGTTGACCTAAGGTTAGGTAGGAACGTCAGACCGAGGTCAAAATCAACCAGCTTTTTGCTTAACAGCTTGCTGTATTGGGTAGTTTCTGGTGCTCATTGTTAATTTACTAATAAAATGGAACGTGGCAGACATCCTCCATGAGCTTCTTGTGATTCAGAGTAGGTAACTGGCCTAAAATGACCCGGATCAATATTCTGCTCTTAGGAACATACTGGCTTACGTAATCCTAGACGCTCATTTAAATGCAAAAAATAAAAATAATGTCGCGGGATTTTGGTCGGCGTGACCTTCTAAAGCCCAAACAAGATCAGTGACCTTAAATGAACACTAGTATACTATTTCACAGGTCTTCAGGTTCAAGGCGGCTGAATGACGAGGTCACGGGGTACTTAAGACACCAGTCTGAAGTTTGAGCTTGTTTCACATCACATGACCCGAAGGTCGTGAATTGAAAATATAAAATTTTGGCATGAGTATGTTCACATACAAGCCAACCCATGCGGTAAATTTGGTGTCTCTAGCTTCCTTAATTTTTTAGATCACGGGGCGAGATCAAATTATCCCCCCCCCCTCACCCGAGTGAAGGATATTCAACTGGTCACCCAGGCGCGTGTTAATCAAGCACTTAACTCCGCAAACATTCCAAAACAAGATAAAAATGCATTGTCACATCCAAATCTTTTATTCTCAACAAGTGCCCCATGCTAGCAGTATAACTGAGCATCATTTAGTCGCCGGCCTGCCCGTTCTGCGGCCCGCGTACGCAGGAGTCTCCAGGGTGATGTGTTAGCGGCGCATCCGGACGACAGGAGGCGATCGATGCTCCTCTGTGTACCCAAATCGCATGGTGACACGGCCGCGGAGCTATGGCGACCGGGCCACGCGCTGGCGAGTGGCGCACCGCTGGACAGCTGGCGGACATGCGCTGAACCCGCACCCCGGCAGGCGGGCCACGGCTGGAGGGAGGTCAGCCAGCGGCTCCGGCTCGCCGATGACCCCGTGTCTCACATTCAAACTTGGCACACGGCCGACCGAGCGAGGCCGAGTCACGTGCGCTGACGTGGAACCGTTCCGAGTGTGCCGACCCGTCGCTGTCTGCCCAAATTAAATCCCTCGAATGCCGTGACACTCTGAACGTGAATGGGAAGGTCCACTGGCGTGGCGTCACGTCCCCTGAGAAAGATCTCCGTGCGCTGGTCTCCCGGTCTCATAACTGGGAGGTGGTCTGAACAGCGTGGCTAGCGTCGTGGATGGCTGTACCAGCAGAAGAACGTACTTTAGTGATTGTCGTGAGCTAACGGGTGCAGACTTCAGCCTTAAATCATGCTGCCGCTTTGATGAAACTGCGGATTTTTCTTTGATTAACGCGGGTCGTTTTCATTAGGCGTGCAGCTTGTTGCTTCGTGCATATTGAATCGCCTAAATTGCAAGGGCCACGTTGCAACGGGCATGGACACCCTTGTCTGCATTGTTGTAGCCTAAAATGCAGTTGATGAATGAATACACAAAGCAAATTCAATACATAAACCAAGAACTCGTGCCGTCACAAGCCAGCCAGACAACGCCTGCAGTAACAGGCTTCAACTAAACCATCGTCCTAATAGAGGTGTCGTCAAGCCCTCTATGAAGTTCTCTAAAGGTATCTCTTTTATGTAATCCGATCCCCTTATCCTCTTTCTCGCTTCATCTTCCGTCTTCGTGACACCCCGCTCATCCGGGGCAGGCTGCATGCGCCAGCCACGAGTAGGTCGAGAGGCACCTCGGAGGCCGACCCGACCGGGCGCTCAGCACATACTCCTCAGAGAGGTCCCTGCTTGGGCTAAGCTCAGTGGTTGGCCCTCAGGCGCATGTAGTCCTGTCCTTCTGTAATTCAGTCTGCGTCATCCCATAGCCTTGAAATGATCCATACTGGTCAAAAGGGCTCTAATCCAAATAACCACCTAACCAATCAACGAGATGTCCTGTAATCTCAAGCAAATTTTCAGTACCTGCCTGGCATATGTTGCGCGTGTTTTGACACCCAAAGCGAGGGCTTAGAGTTTCTGCTTTCGGAGAAGTGGCGTTTTTTCGGAACCCTACGCGATTATCTACGGCCGGCGAGTGCGGCGGGCAACAACCGACGATTCCGCGGACCAACACTGTAACATTGACGGAGACTTACATCATAAGTATATGCTGGAAGCGCACCAAGCGACACGGGATCCAGGAGCCCCCAACACTGCAAATCGCGGACTCCGGGCTCATTTCTGCTTGGGAAATAGGTCTCAAGGGCTCAGACGGACATGGAGCCGATTGTTCGGTGTTCGTGGTACCTGACCGACTTAGACCCCCGCATTGTCGCGGCTGATATTTCAGGTCACGACCCTAGGGACCGCGATTCTCTATGTGACCTACAGCCAGCCCTTCTGCCTTGATGCTCTTCAACCGGGCCTTTGATCGTCGGTTCCAGTGGGCCGCCCGGGCCGCTATTCGGGCCTCATCGAACGCTTTTCTTGGTCGTCTCAGGGCCTTTGCGAGCTGAGCGCAGGGCCCTCCGTTAGCACCGTGCGCCCATGACGCATACAAGCAGTGTAAATCACTGGCCCCGGCTTTGTAACTGATTGAGAAGTGGGTCCTCAGGCCCATACCGATACGGAGCCGACTGCGTGGCAGGATGTTACCTGGCCGGTATATAGGCCCATATCGACTAAGAGGTTCCCCGATAGGCGCAAAGGGCCCAGTGATTCTTATTTGAGGGCTTGTTTTCTCAGATCGGGGCCGCTGAATAAGACTCCGACCAGCCCTCGATGTCCTTAGACTCTCCAATCGCGCTCTTGGTTGTCAGACCCGGTGGTCCCTCTAGACTCTTCGGGCCTCCTCGAGCGCTGCTTCTGGCCAACTCGAGGCCCCTGGACAACACAGGGCCTCTGTTGGCGTTGTGGGGCCCCGAGAAATGTAAATCAGACTTTGGCTTTGTCCCTGCATGTGAAATTGCGCCCGGGCCCATGCCGCTACGAAGCCGACTGTGTGTTACTGGTGGTGTCTGACCGAAATATAAGTCTTATCGACTCACTGGACCCCTGATCAGCGCGCGGGGCCCTTTGGCTGGCATTGGAGTGCCCGGCCCCGCGGGCTGCAGCCCCTGAATGAGGCCTCCATCTGGCCTTTCGGGTCCTTCGGGTCCTCAAATCGAGCCCTTAATCGTATGTTCCGAGGGGCCCGAAGGGCCCTTAGGAACCTAAAGGGTGGGGGGCCACGTGCCCCTGCGCCCCCTGCCTGCTGCTGATGGTGCCGTCTGGCCCATGTGAAGGACACCCGCCACACAGTGTCACTAGGTCCATGTGACTGGCACTTACTGCATGGTGACGTCTTGGCGTCCGGTCCAGGTAACGGAGACGCTTTCCTTCTCGCTGCGGTCGGCGTGGGTGAGCGCGGCGCACTCGTTCATCAGGTTGACGTTGTCGACTGGCTGCCAGCTCCCCTGCCCCGTGGCAGCCTTACCCGTAGACGGATCGCGCGCCTGCACCATGAAGCCCTTGAAGTAGTTCTTGCCCGGCGCCTTGATGGTCACTGAAACGGAGACAAGGCCCCAAACGTCACGCGCGGCAGCACTATGAGACGACTTTTCATGGGAGGAGTGCTGGGTCCTCGGTGACCATGCTCATGTTCACGTTCGCGTTCGTGACGCGAAAGGACTTGAGCAAGTGACGAGTGCCAATATTGACCACTCGTAATAACGCACGTAGAAAACAGCGCCTTTGGCATATCTCTATCTGTATGACAATAAGCGAGCGGTCCAATATCGCCTCCCACGCTGTCGAAAACGGTCCGACGGTTCGAGGCATCTGCGCCAGGGGAGAGGTCGTCCCGATCTGAATCATGCAGAGGTCATTACAGAATTCCTGGCAGCTGGCCAAGGGTGGCTAAGCGTCCTGGGCACGTGCCAACCAGGAGGAATGCGCCAATATCTGTGGCACCCGGGGTCCAGTGGTGTCTGGAATATGCGGGACAACGGCACCCATGGCTCCCCGGCCGCAGTAGTGAACTGAACCGCGCACCAGCTCGTTTAGCTAGCACGTTGGGAAGCACTGGGCACTTCGTAGCACTCCGTATTTTCCTGACCTCTGATAAAAAATGAACGAAACTGCAGTTCACGAGTTGTGTATCAAAGGGTAAGGGTTAAGACTACAGCTACCTTGCCTGTAATGCAGAGTTAAGTCCAACCCATTAAGAAGGAAAAATATGGGATGCTATGCAGACGGATAGCTGTTTACTGAAGTACCGTGTATACAAAGATGCGCACATTGCTAGGCATATTGTAATGTCACAGCATTACACATATCAGCAACATTACAATGCGCACCAAAGGAACCAGACTCCTAGTAAAACAACACCAGAAAAACGGTGTTCATCTACTAAGAAAACTCGTCTTGCGACCAAAAACTGACGGCAGCATCTCAAAATACATATCACTGCATCCATCTACCAAGGACCTGAAGTTATGTGTCGTATGACACACGCTTCATACCGCATATAATTTCGTGCCCTTGACGCACATATGCATCAAGGGCGTGCAGCAATGTCGCGATCTACCAAGATCAGGGTGCAGAACTGGTTTTAAGATCCATGGAGCGTGACGGCATTCTCACGTGAGTTAAACTGAATGGTTGAGGTTTGTGTGCCATGCCAGCAGACCAGCGAAAGATCTCCGCCATAGGCTAGGAGGGTGAGAGATGTACACTAACGCTCTACGCCAACACACGCGTGTTTGTGTATTATGCCCTGCATATGCTGAAGCCGCACTAGACGAACTCCGAAGCACGATCTCTTGTAAAGTCGGCATTGGGCCTGGAAGTTCTCTGTCTCCCGAAACTCTGTGGACAACGTGGGAATTTCTCGTCGCCACATTGCTGATCGTGTTTTGTGAAGCGGTAGTTGGCTTGGCTGTGGAATCAGCTCCAGCAGCAACACCTACGCCCGCGCCAACAGCTCGCCGTCAACACTTCAGACGGGTCATGCTCCTGTTTACCCGAGCTCCGCCGAACGACAGGTTCCCGCCGACCATTTCTGTATCATGGTCAAACGCGCTGCAAATGATCCTTCCCGAAGTACTTATACATTCCTTCTATCTTTTCGTAGCGGGCGGGAAAAACGCAGGTCGCCTCTTCTCTGTTGCTGTGATTGTGATCAACGGCCATTACGAATGATGACAACACTAAGAAAGCTAGAAAGACCAAATTCATTATGTAGATAGAGCATTATGTAAACTCCCTTTCGCCAATTTTCAAGTGCCCTAGGCTGTGACTTTCAGGCCATTGAAGGTCAAACACGGTCAAACTCCGGATCGATGTTCGAAGTGTCCCAGACATTCTCCCCCAAGCAGCTTTAAGCTAAATTCTTCTCATTAGCAAAAAGTTGCTGGTGTTCACATCAGGTAATTGATATTTTTCATCTTTAGAAGTTACAAATGACCAAAAACCTTCGAGATTATTTGGCTGTTTGAATTAACGATCGGCACAAAGTACTAACCCTAGACGGCTTGCCTCTGAGAAAAAGGTTGATCGATGTCATATTAGGTCCATGACCTACCCTGAACTTCATGAAGCGAAGATAACAAATGTTTTGACCTCGTTTAAATCCAGGAATTCGAAATGAACGTGTAACCTACTTGATTAATCCAATTTTCTAGTAATAAGGCGGTGTAGGTTTGCCTTTGAACTGGCCCTCATGTCAGATCCAAGACCAATGCAATTAACCACATTTCTAATTAAAATTGTCCGAATGTCTAAGAAAAAATATCAAGACTGTATGATTTTGCTTATAACTCGGTTGTGGTGTCACATTAGAAGATACCCAGCGAATTGCCTTCGCTGACAGCCATGGTCTGATTTTAACCTGCTATAGACCAGCGACCTTACTTGGTACGTCTAATGCGTTACACCAAAACATCTGCCACTAAGTAACCTGCATCTGTTTGTTGTTCAGTTTGGCAGGGCTATGCCACGCCGTTTAAACGATATCCTGGAAAACGTTCGTGAAGTCAAACTGCATGGTCAATTGGTGCATGGGGGAAAATGTCTGGGACACTTCGGACACTGATCCCGAGTTCGACCTTGTTTTACCTTCTTTGGCCTGAAAGTCACAGCCTAGGCCGCTTAAAATTGGGAAAAGGGATTACGCTTAATTTATACGCTTAATAACGCTTAATTTACATTATGATTTCGTCTTTCTAGCTTTCTTAGTGTAAGAAATATTACGGGAGTCAAATTGTTCCCCCATCATCCAACCAAGTGCATGTCCAAGAAATCCCCGCATCATGTTGACTGGACCAGCCTGCAAAACTTCAGGATCTTTTTCAAGCATGTTGAGCCTGGCCTTTTGTCGGCAGGGATCAAGATATCTGTGATGAATGGTGCTGCCATCCTCGTGCCAGCCACCGTCTCATAATGACATGATCTTTTCCCTGCGCGATGCTTACCTTGCCGACATTAAATTAACATGCTACCCATTCGGCTCCACGATGATATCGCAGGCATCGTCGATCAGGTTATGTAACCATCGCTATAACGTATTTTTGAGACAGTTTTCCGGCATGGGAGAATATCTAGGGTTATCTGTGAGCCTTTCTCTGTGTGCTGTGATTATATTTGTCTCTTCCCAACACCTCGGAAACGTTTCAACAAGTTCATCTTTTCTCCATTGTTGCTGTCATATTTGTGATTGTGTTTTGTCATTAATCGTTATTTTTAGTGTAATGCCTTACGCTGACCATTCGCGTTTTCTTAAATTACTTAATTTCTGGCTTCGAATACCTTTACCCCAAAACGGCTCAGTGATTAATTTCATCTGTACAGCATAGCCATCAAATGAGCAACAACGTATCAAAAAAATCCAGCGTTTTTGTGCACATCTTTTCTCGCCGGGCCGTAGCCTTTCCGGTAAGCCATTGCCAATTTTACCATGAACCGAACACGCGTACACAAATGCTTTACTTCCACGGTGTTCAATTGCTTGCTGCGGGTCGATATGGCAAGACAAAGGGCTTCTCTCTCTACGGTCTTGTTACAACGAGCGCGACCGCACGGCGCATGGGATTTTATGTCTCCCAGGTCAGACATTTTTGGAAAAGCTGAAGCGATTATTTCCTTGACACATATACAGATGTTCGTCGTGTATGGTCATAGAGAGTTATGGCCCCTTGCCTAATACTTTTAGTCGTGGAGACCTGAAAACAGAGGGTGGGGACGACGGTGAGAAACAACTGGTGCCTGTCACAGCAAATGTCACACAGCAAATGTAGTCAAGTATGTGTTGAGCATTAACCTGGTTCTTCGCTGAATGGGAATTTTTGCCTCTCACCTTGCTTGAATTACCCAACTCCTTAAGGGATTGGGTTCCCAGAACTTTTTATAATTTTAACCGCGACAACTCCTGAACATCCAAAATATGACCATTCGTGTAACTCTGATGTAAACCTTACGAGTTCAAATGCTGCCACATTTGGTGTCACCACTGCGCAGTTTATTGTCATGTTGCCCATGCTGTGACCAAAACCTTGTAGGATTGTTACGTGAGCAGAAACCCCTCAGCAAAAATAAGCACCAAATGATTCAGAAGGTTACGTCAAACACATTCCCCTCGAAATAATTTTTGCGCAAGATCAATCCCGTTAAGCCCTTGCGGCATGGCATCATTAACTGCCTGCGTGCTGCTAAAGTATGCAGACATTGCATCACATCAATCAATGTACGCCACCACATCATGGATCGATACAGACTGATCATTGTACAAATACGCCTAACTTTATACCTGATGATTCCCAAAAGGCATATATCCGGTAGCCCGACCACAACAAGGGGTCCTCTTAGACGGCTCATAAGCCTTAGACGGATGGAGCAGTTACAGATTGGTACAAATTGCCCACGTTACCCATTCCAGCGAGCTAATCGGTCCTCCGTGACCCCCCAGCGGCACTATTGACCGAGGTAAATGACGCGGAGCGGGGGGAGGCACGAGCCAAAAGGGGGGTGGGAGGCCGGACCAGGTGATAAGACAGAGCAGGGTCCAGGAGACAGGACGGAGCGAGATCCAGGAGAAAGGACAGAGCGGGGTCCAGGCGACAGCACAAAGCCGGGCCCAGGTGGTAGCACAGGGCGGGGTCCAGGCGACAGCACAAAGCCGGGCCCAGGTGATAGCACAGGGCGAGGTCCAGGCGACAGCACAGAGCCGGGCCCAGGTGATAGCACAGGGCGAGGTCCAGGCGACAGCACAGAGCCGGGCCCAGGTGATAGCACAGAGCGGGGTCCAGGCGACAGCACAGAGCCGGGCCCAGGTGGTAGCACAGGGCGGGGTCCAGGCGACAGCACAAAGCCGGGCCCAGGTGATAGCACAGGGCGGGGTCCAGGCGACAGCACAAAGCCGGGCCCAGGTGATAGCACAGGGCGGGGTCCAGGCGACAGCACAGAGCCGGGCCCAGGTGATAGCACAGAGCGGGGTCCAGGCGACAGCACAGAGCCGGGCCCAGGTGATAGCACAGGGCGGGGTCCAGGCGACAGCACAGAGCGGGGTCCAGGCGACAGCACAGAGTGGACCTCCAGACGACTGGACACAGAGCGGGTTTCAGACGATTGAACACAGCGTGAAAGTGTTGTGAGTCTCAAGAACAGACTCTAGACAAAGCCGGTAAATCCCTCATGCTGCTATCATCGTCACTTGGCATATGCAGAAATGATTTGAAGATCTATGCAAAGCGGTGATTCTGTTTCGCTACCACCAACGTGAACAAAGGAAGTGTTAATCTCCACGTAATGCGTAGTAAGTTGTTCGACTGATATACGGACATGGGTACGCATGTTTAACTACCACCTGGCGATGATCCTTTCAACACCATGAGCGAGTAGCAGGATTTAGAGCCTTTCACCGCCGCTGCTTCAGTCTGACAGGTGCCGGTGCCGGCGGGCAGTGAGGTTAGGTACCGGACCTCTCGGGGAGACTGCCCGAGTTTCACTCGGTGACTGTCGGCTGGGAGCCCCGCGACCTGTGGCCACCTCTCACTGGCCCGGCCGGGGTGAAAGTAGGAGACTGACCCGGCGCCAATGAACTGGGCCTAACGAGGCCTTACGAGCGCCACCCCGCAGGTCAGTGCGGACGGACAGCGGGCAGCTGGTGTGCGCGAAGCCACACCGCAAGTCGCGGCTTTTGGTCATTGATGCATTCTGATCAAAACGGGTGAGTAAAATAGACGTGCACCGTGCGGTGGAGTACCTTCACAGCAACACCTTCATCGTGACGCCGTTTCAGACTGACTGATGACATCAGAGAGAAGCTGTGCCGACGTCACCTGGTGATAACACGTAGCGTGTCACCGATGCCAGAGGGTGAAAGGCGGCACAAGTGTCGCTCTCCAATCCTTGAGAGTCGGGCGAGTGGTGAGAGGAGCACGTGCGCGTGAGTCGTGCTTTCATGTCGTGAGGTTGTTGAGCTTATTTCAGAACTTGAGACACTGCCCTAGGGCCATATCGCTGCAGTATGCACGCCGTCGAGGACCCAGCTTGTTTTGAGACGAGGTACACGGTCTTGGCGGTGACTCAAAGCTAATATCCCGCGCGCAGGAGTGTGCGATGTCAACTGGAGGTGCTCTCTACAGTGAGACCCATGTCAGTGTCAAACTCGCTGCTGAATCCGCAGCACACAGACAGTGTGGTGGCGCGCGTCAATACCCCTGGCTGCAAAACCGGACCACCTGACGACCCATCTGCCCTAGTTCTGAAACCCATCGGGCAGTTGTCAGCAGCAGTCGTTTCATGGTAGTTGGCTCGTGTTACGTCCTGGACATAGTTATAAATCACCTTTCGATCTAGGCACCGTAATGGCACTCCGCGCCATAAGACTAACACCGCTGGTGCCTTCGGACGTTATGGCCTGCACTCCATCTCATCGAGTTCGCCACGGTCATATCATAAGTTATGGCACCTGGATTGAATACACAATTTGACAACACAAATGAAAACTTGCCATTCTCTTCGCCTTGTAACATCTATTTGAATCCGCTCGGTGTAATCTGGAATTGTAATGTAGATATTATTATGTAGATCTCTGTCACATCTGTCTGAATGTGTGATATCTGTTCAATTCGATGCAACATTCACCACAGCAGAATCTGCATTTGTGCACGCACACGAGATGTTGGGATTCATAACATTCGGCCAAAAAGTTTCTCTCACTAGTCGCGAGGGATTTGCGTGGTCTCTATCAACAACCTCGCAAACAAAGAGCAAATATAAGTGACTGGATTTATGTAAATGATTGGATTTGAGAACAGTTAGACTCTCAAGATCAGAGAATGAAGAAACAAAAAGGCTTTACTGGGTCATTGTCAAGAGACTGTTTTGGTAGGAAATGTGCATTGGACGTGATCACTGCTTGCTTCATCCTTTCGCGCGAAGCACACAGGTGTAATTACAGGTGGCTTATAGGCGCGCATTTAATTTCGTCTTTGGAGAATAGCATTCATGCACTTTGATTTTGCTACATACAAGATAAGTGGTGCAACGAACACGCAAAGGCTAAGAAGATTGTGCTACCTCAGCACAATATTGCAACTTCGAATTTGCTGGAATGTTTTTGAAATCAGCTCATTATATGCAATACTTATTCACACTGAAATGATTTCAAAACGTTCAACTAGTCGCACGTGACAAACGTTACGAAAGCGCACAAAGTCAATGGCATCTCGCAATAGCGAGATCAACGTAACCAGTCAATTCGGTTACGTCTGGATTGATTCATTTCGCGCAGCACTGTAGCCTATGCTTTGAACGTTCTAATCCAGTGCACGTGGGGCTCTCCGAGCTCACATGACGTCATGAAAGAATGCGGCAACTTTGCACGTGTCGAGCTGGTGGTGACATCCGGTCGGGTACCTGGGCTGCCCCTTCTCCCGTAATTTTACATCTCTTCATGTTGAAATTAGTTAGAAATCCCGTGCGATGCTGAAAAAAATGCGACCGACTAAGAAGCTCCCTTGAGCCGACCAGACCTGCATCCGGATCCATCGCATGTTTTCTACTTTCCGCTGAATGATTTGCGACAGTCGATCCAACTCCGCCCCTTATTCACGCGTCCAGGAGACCTCGCTCCTCGAACGCAGCCTTAAGGTGAACAAGAAGAAAACTTGTCAAATGATTCCGCGGCCGAGATAGCTCTGGTACTATCGCTGGATGAGATATCTCTGACCAGACCTTGCTTCGCCAGAGAGACCTGGCTGCGAGCTCGCCCGGTGCCTGCGCCGGCACTCCTGATCCGGCCCTGGTGTACCTGACGATCCCACGCCGCGCCGTCTGGGGCCTAACCTCGACCGCCGCGGTCCGTCCGATGACCCCGCGGTGATGGTCTGAGGAGATGCACCTTCGCGCTCGCCCAGACGCGTATGACGACCCCAACCAGGGACAGCCGAGGACGTTCACCGCTTACGCCGCCCCGCCAGGCCTGATGGCGCCACCCTGTCTGAGCTGTGCCATGCCGCCTGAGCTGAGCCACCTCTGCCCTAGTGCGTGTGATGATCCCGCCCTGGTAGGTCTGACGACGGCGCCCCGGTGCGCCTGATGGCGCCGCACTAACACTACGACGCTGCACTCCGAGGTACGTCCGAGGTGACTCACCTCTGACACCGCCCTGGTACGACTGTCGGGTGACGCTGAACGGCATGGAGCGCAGGTCCTGAGTGCGCTGTCCGCCATGGTTCGGCACCATGCCGCGCAGACAGGCCTCTGTCGGCGCGCCGTTCGGGAAGGCGACGATCGGCGCCAGACAGCCGGCGAGCAGCAGCAGCGGGCGGAGCATGGCGGCAGCGGCGGGTGCGGACGGAGCGCGACTGAAGCCGGCCGGCGCCGCTCTCACAGCCGCTCTGGCGCTGAAGGCCAGTCGTGGCCACCGGCGGGGACTGGGCCAACGCGCTGCGGCCGCCGGCGCGGGCTGGGACAGTGCTCGACGGCTGGTCTGGGACAGGGTTCCGCGGCGGGCTGGGGGCAACGCGCCGCGCCCGCCGGCGGGGGCTGGGGCGGCACGCCACGGCCGCCAGCGCGTGGCGGCCGTCCGCGGGGGCTGGTGCAGGACAGGACTGCCTCAGAGACACCACGCCGTGGCCGTCGGTGGGGGCAACAGCAGCACGCCAAAGTCACGCTCGGCCGCCGGCAACTGTGCACGACCAACACGAGACGGGGACGGGACATGGGCGTGGTCACTAGGAGACGGAACACGGCCAACCGTGACCAGGACGAGGTGAAGGTCAGATGGTGACCATGGCTTGACATGCAAGGCGATGACAAACAGGGTTGCTTGTGCTGTGACGGCCATGCAACATTGCCTTGTAGCTTGCATTCAAAATGGCCACTTGGTCATGTACGAAGACCTGGTTGTCTTTGCGTACTGTACACACGAATCTAAAATTGTTCCTAGTTTACTGGTCTGTGATCAGGCTGATATTTTCACATCTATTTTCTCTTTGGCAACCTGCATTTTGTGGCTCGAATGATATTGTTCAACAACACACCACCAAATCGCGTTGTTACTATGACACCTTAGTGGTCGCCTCCAACTCTGTTCAATAGCAAGCAATCGATGGACGTTTGCCTTGACTCTCTGATCCAGCCTTTTATTTTTGTCCAGCAAGCTTAATTTTGAATTCACCAGCACAACTGTGAGTCCTTGCTGACCGGCAAAAACGAGAAGAGAGGTCGGACGTCGGGTCCCAAAGAGTTGTTCTTGTTAATTGGTGTTTTCGGGCGCGTCGACTGCAATGGTCATTTTGCGCCCAGAGTCCTCAAGAGGTAACAGTCCAGTGGCATTTCGCTCGCAAGCCCATTTGACCATAGCTTGATCTTGCATAGCACTTACATTGATATGATGAAGAAGTTTGCCGTGAGTTCTTGCTCCTATCAAAAACAATGTCTTTAAAGGGAATATTCCACATTTTTATGGGGTTTTGAGCTGAAATAGCCATATTGGAGACCTTTCGGAGCAGCTCACAACACTGTACTTCTAAAGACCCAAATCCGTCTAGTTCCTGCGCTACACGCCCGTAAAAATGTGGAGAGCATCTCGGGGAGGATATTTTATGGTCACCTTGGCATTCATGACACTATAACAACGTCATTCGGGTCCTGCCATTCCATAAGCCATGCGACGATCGAGACCCAGAAAAATATATTGGTCGGGTCGTTCATATATGGTGTTTGAGAGCACGATTTCCAGATATAACGGCAGCCAACTGACTCTCCGTCAATGTTGTGGAAGGTGAGATGACGTAATCAAACAATGACGTATCAGGAAGCACATGTTCTAGAAAAGCAAATTGTGCTGCTCAGAGCAGTCTTTTCCGCTTAGAAGTACACTAATAGTTGTAAGCAAGCTTGTTTCACCATATTTTATGTTTGCCTCAATATCTCCAAATGTGGAACACTCCGTTTTAAGTACTGAGACCAGCAGTCAAGGACGGTGCTGACCATCGGTATCGGTATCATCGATACAGTAAATCAAATGTTACCTAAAAACGCTGCTGGGCTTGGCAGCCTGCTCGCCGGGCGAGGGATGCAGAACAAAAGAACGCACTGAATCCTCTTATCTGCCCCGAGCTGATGAAAAACGACAGCAGCTGAAAATGTTCGCACTTGTTCTTAGACGGGCACTCAGCGCCGGTTGCGGCTTATAACTGCAGGGGTCCCTCCACCACACTGTTTTTCAGCCTCCCTGATCTTTCCTTTGTTGATTAGAACAGGGATTTGTTTTCGAGGACCTCGACATTCGCTGCCTCATTTTGGCCGGAACAGGAGTTGGCTTTCACAGACACTGCTTCATCGTCGTCCCATTATGGCAGAGAATGGTGTATTATGAACGAGTGGATGTCACTCCAGTGCACTTTCATGTCAGGGAACTTAATCCTCAAGCAGAGTGAGCAGTTTTCTATTGCAGAGCAGTGGAGGTGCGTCGGTAGGCACACCTTCTGGTCCCGTATCTCTAGAATCTGACTAGAATTTAAATTCCGTGAACTGCTGTCGAAATGACTCCCAGCGCCGCAGACGCCCCTGACGTCACTACAGTTATTGTAAAAGTAACACTCACTTACGCAACGCTGCGTCCAGACGCTCCCGCCGCGTCAGCGCATTGGCAATGCCTCTTCTGGGTGAGGAGTTAGCTAGACGATCGCACGCTCAAAATAAAAGATAGTCACCTACTTACTATACTCACATTAACAGATAGTCACTTACTTGCTATGCCACCAGAAGCTGGTCAAAATAAGTAATCAGGCGGGCATTACATTGGAAAGTGGGGTTAGACCCGTTTCACCATCAATCTGTATCGCATGCAGTTCACCAGAGCCCGGGATTTTTTCTCGACGCACCATTGAACGATGCGACTGGTATTGGCCCAGGTGGAGTTTATTTCAATTCAAACAAAATACCAACGATTTCACAACAGTTGGAAGTTGTAATGCAGTACATTTTAGATCGTTCGTACCATTTGCTTGGAAAGAGTCATGATCGGAGAGGGTTTCTAGTGATCATTTCTACTTGATTTTTTTTAACTCCAGCCACTCGTTTGCCAAAAGTACTTTTGGGTCGAAACAACTTGAATCATGACTAGACGTAACAAAATTTTACCAAACATTCTACTCAACACGTCTTTGTAAACATCGCCTAGCATCTTACGCAGGGTGCTGATATTATCACCAGTGTTTTGCATCATCGCCTCGTGATTACGGGGGTGACCTGTACGGATGGAACTCATCCTGTGGTTACAGGTCCATCGTGTGAAGAAAACGCACCCTCATCGAGTGTGCGTGTAAAGATTGCTTTGTAGCGGTCATGCATATAACATAATAACAGAGAATCGCAGATGCTACATCATTCCAGCAGCAGACTGTTAAACGTGGCAGTCACGTGATGACCTGTCCACAGGAAGTTCCTGGAAGTCAGCAGCGACAAAGGTCCAGCCGTCACTCAGAGTCGTCAGGCCCAGAAGCTTGTTTGATCAATACGACCTCGTGTCGCTACCGCCGGCGGGCCGTGGCTGTCACCACCACGTGGCCCCTCGTGTGTTCTCGTGTCGGGTCTGGGGCCGGGTTATCGGTCGTGAAGCAGGTCACGCTAAGTGCTCGCGGAAGCCTGGTCGTGTGAGGAGCGCTCGCTGTGTTGCAGATTCGGGTGAAAGGCGGATATCGCATGGGTGCCGACGTCACCGCGGGTGCTGACAGACGTAGAGGCTGATTAATGGTTGAGTGATATTGCTAATCTAATAAATCGCCGTGGGGGTTCATGGCTATGGCTTATACAAGGGTGCGGTCCATCCACACAGCTGGCCGGAGGCAACCGCTCCTCCACCTGCCGTGTGCAGTATCTTCAGTATTCATCGGAGCAAGGAAGGATTAGGGTGAAAGCATGAAACAAAGAAGATTCGCTGTTAGTACGAATGCAGATAGCGGCAATCAGTTCATAGCTAATCTTCGCCGGGTCAATCTCCGGCACCACTTTCGCCGGGCCAATCTCGGGCACCACCTTCGCCGTACCAATCTCCGGCGCTAACTTCACCGGACCAATCTCCGTCGCCACCTTCGCCAGACCAATCTCCAGCGCCAGCTTTGCCGGACCAATCTCCCGCGCCAGTTTCGCCGGACCAATCTCCGGCGCCAGCTTCGCCGGACCAATCTCCGGTGCCACCTTCACCAGATCAATCTCCGGCGCCAGCTTCGCCAGACCCAATCTCCAGCGCCAGCTTCGCCGGACCAATCTCCGGTGCCAGCTTCACCGGACCAATCTCCGGCGCTAGCTTCGCCGGACCCATCTCCGGCGTCACCTTCGCTGGGTCGGAAGAGTCGTTTGGACGCTCTGCAAGATCTGGCTCTCACGTATCCCACGAAAACAAGAATATCGGCAGAAAGGTCCCCCGAGCTAAATTGAAAGCACTTATAATTTTTGGCCTCAGGATAGTGTGGCGGTCACCAGAAATTACGAGGGGCAAAAGTAGGATCATGGGCATGCACAAAATAAACCCTCTGAACCGCGCCAAACTTACGATTAAGAAAACAAAATGTGCGCAGGCGAGGTAAGACCAGCTCAGTGTTCCGATGTGGCTTACTCTCACGGATCAAACACCCTCCTTTTCATCCCTATGTGTGAATAAGTTGTTCAGTCTCGTGGATGTTCATGATGAGAAACTGAAGAAGGTTTGCGAAGAAGAAGCTGAAGCGATGAAGAAGCTGAAGCGAGGATGATGAAGAAGCATGATGAAGAAGCTGAAGCGAGGCCCGGCCCGTTCAACAAAAGTTACATTTTCAGATGGTCGTAATCGCCGGTTTGAAGTTCTCCAGGGGCCCAAACAACTAGCAAAAGATCTTTTCGCGGTCTAGAAGAGTCAGTCAGTTCAAGGACAGGTCACGGGAGGTCAGATGGGGCTACAGCATGCTTTTTCTGCTCCGGTTTCTAACGCCATATTTGTCTAGGAGGGTAGATTAGCTATAAAGATCGTATTTATTGTGATCATGTGTCATCTTCCGGGCAGGATAATCGGTAAAAGGAGCTCAGAGTCTTATGCTGAGTAATCGACTTTAGTTTGCCAGAATTTACTGGCCAACATGACATTAAAGAGGAAACATGGTTATGTTGACAGTACTCGACATCCGAAGCCGTCCTTATGATCATGAGTGAAGCAGGTTGAACAAGGTGAAAGGGGATGTTCCACATTCGAAGATATTGAAGCAAACAGAGATGTCACGAAGCAAGCTGACCCTTAACAATTGATATACTTTTAAGTGGAAAGACTGCTCTAGGCATAACGACCCTCTCCGTTTAGTAAAT